TCGTGAGTTCACAGGTTGCCATCCAGAAGGCAAAGCATGCGGGGCAGTATATACTATAGGGTATGATTTAGGGTGGTGTGAAATTAAGGAGGACCCTGAAAACCAGCTGAGGAATTTCGATTTGTTTTGATGGAAAATTGACAGCTGCTTAGATGTATAAGTGAAACAAAATTCCTATTAGAATCTATCAGCAAATAATTATTGAGCATTAATTTTTTATAAGGCCTAGAAAGGACACCAAAAGTGCACATTCTGTTTTCATGACCTTGGGGCCCAGCCATGACAGGCATGGCTAAGCTACCTGGGTAAAACAGTCCCTGCTAGTTAGGAGCGCATAACTTACCGTGAGTAGCTTCATATAGCATCTCAGATGCAGTGGAAAAGGAATACTAAGGAAGAAGGTATTAACTGTGCTGGAGGTGGGGAAGAATATCGAGAGGGCTTCACGGAGGGGGTGACCAAACTTGGGCAGGGTGTTGAAAGATCAGGAGGATTTTTTGAGGGTGACGCGGGCATTGTGGGGCCAGCTTGGGGCAGGGCATGAAGACGTGAAACGGCTCTGTGATTAGGGGAGGTACAGTAGTTCAGTTACGTGGGAGGATGAATTCCAAAGGTAAAGGAAAGTGGCAGTGGGCAGCATCGAAGGGGTATGAGTGACTGTCTGACTTGTGTTTTAGAAATCACCCTCATGGTGTGGACTGGGAAGGGGGGAGGCTGGATCCGTTTAGGACACCACTGTAGTATTCCAGGTGGAAAGCTGTGCTGGTGGGGGTGGGGGTGAAGGGGATGGATGTGAGAGAGACTTAGGGGATGCTGTCAGCAGGACTCACTGGGTGGGGGGTGGGACAGAGCCGACCTGAGTATGAGCATGGGAGGAAGAATGAGCTCATGGGGAAAGGTTAAGGTTCATTTTAGGCCATGTCAAGTTTGAGGAACCTGTAGGACCAAGTGAACAAGTCCAGCTGCAACTGGAGCTAAGGGCAGAGTCTGGGGCTAGAGACAAAGGTAGGGTGTCTTCGACAGGTAAAGGGTGGTTAAAACCCTGGATAGATGAGATCCCTTGTCTGTAGCCCAGGGAAGCCTGGGCTGAGTGGTCAGGGACATTCTGGAATGAATGTTGAAGGACAAGTAGGCTGGAATTGCGTGGTTCTCTGTGTATATGAGATGAGCTCAGGATATACCAAGCAAAGTCAGAGGGCTCACATATGGAAATTAGGAAGTGTATGAAACTGGTTCTGGGAAGCCTAGAATTGTGGCTCAGGTTATTCCTTTTTCCCTGAAACTCTGAAAGAATTTTGAGTGGACATAGTGTTTCGGGGCAGTTGACGTGGTGATGGTGTGCAGAATGGATGGGGAAGGAGGCCTGGGGCAGGTGGACTGGTGTAGGTGGCTTTTGTAGAATGCCATCTGTGAGGTGATAGGGGCTTGGGTGCAGTAGGAATGGAAATGATGGGATAAATAGGAAAGTGAGTTCAAGGAAACCTTCAGAAGCCATGCCTGGAGCTTGCAATTAGGTGCATGACATTTTGCGTGGTGGTGACTGGATGCTGGTGCTAGTCCAGGCTGTGAGTGCAGGGATCCTGTCTGGTTTTGTCCTTGTCTCTGGCACCTGAAGCATACTGTGCACCCTTCAGCATTTGTTGAGGGGCTGCATAAATGGTGGTAAAGACAATCGGAAGTCTTAAGAACCCAGATGTGGGAAGAAGGTGATGAGCTGGTTTGAACATGTGGGCACTCCAAGGGGAGAGATTCAATAGGGGATACGCCAGGGACGGGGCACACCTAGACCTGCTGATGGCCTCAGCTCATCAAGTGTCTAGGAGCCGAGGACTACAAGAGGCATAAAGATGAGCAAATACCTTCAAGGCTATGGCAAGAAGTATAAGGAAAATATGCAAATTACTATGAAGCAGAACATATTAAATGTTAAGAAAAACAGTGGTTACAAAGTGTTATAAAGATTCAGTAAAAAGAGAAATCCCATCTGGTTGGGGGAGATCAGAAAAGTCTTCTTTGAGGTGGCATATTGAGGGGCAAAGGGGGACAGGGCAGGACGGAGGAGGTGGTGGGAGGGCATCATCCAGGCAAGAGGGCCACCCACAAGGGTGCACATCTGGATGCCAGCTCTCCTGTTTAGCTCAGTTGTGTGGGCTTTTTAGGAAACTGTATTAAGTGGAGAATGAAAAGGAGATCCTGGGAGGAGGTCGTACCCCTTGCAAATTGAATGGCCATTGCCCGCGGGCATCTCCTTCCCTGGCAGCCTGTGGGATCAGGAGCTCCCCGTGGGCCACGTTTGTCTTTGGGGAGTGAAAGGAAGCACGTGCCTTGCTGTGGCTTCTCTAGCACTCGGCCCTCAGGCTCAGCCCGCCCGCCTGACTCCAGGAGGATGTGGAGACAGTCCGGTTCACACTCCCCGGAGATGACCAAGGGCAGGCTTTATAGGAACTTTCCTTAAAAAAACAACCAAATATTAATAGTTCTTTCTTTAAGGTCACAGGATCTTCAGAGAGAAAAAGGATGGGAGGTAGGGGAGGGAATGAAGTCATTTCACAGTGTTTATCTGCATATATTATAGGAGACATTTCAAACATATTAAACATGAGAAACAGAAGGCTACTGTATTCTGAGTACATCCTGTATCCCTTAGAAACAAATGTGCAAACATCTCAAATCCAGACATGGGTACAAATTTGAGAATACGGAAATAAAAATTCTACACCATCTATATTGCTCAGGATTAGAGAGGAATGGGTGTATATTTATGGTCATGGATGAAAGATAGCTGTTTTGTGGTTTAGAAGATTCGTTGTCTCTGTAGTGCTTTGAGAACTTTCCTTGGTGGGTAAACGAGGAGGGCCCATACACACTGGTTGTTACATGTTAATGTGATGTGTTGTGGTTGGAACCTGGCTCTGGAGTAACACTCAAATATTAGTTCTCCGATCACCTAAGCTTGTGGACTTGAGCCTAACACAACTGAGAAGAGCCAGAAAGTTCCATCGGACTCCGTGGAGTTTGTTTTAGAACGTTAAGTACTTTTCTACATACAGTTGAGAATTTCTCCCATGAATAGATGAAATACATCTAGTAAGTATGCTGGGTACACTTTTAATTAATTACTAATTCATTTATTCATCTGAAAACATGTATTGAGTCATTAGCCTGATAACAGTGTCGAACAGTTGTTGAGCATATCTGTGTACCAGGCACATATTAAGAGCTTGAGGTAGGCCGGGCGCGGTGGCTCACGCCTGTAATCCTAGCTCTCTGGGAGGCCGAGGCGGGTGGATCGTTCGAGCTCAGGAGTTCGAAACCAGCCTGAGCAAGAGCGAGACCCCGTCTCTACTAAAATTAGAAAGAAATTAATTGGACAACTAAAAATATATAGAAAAAATTAGCCGGGCATGGTGGCGCATGCCTATAGTCCCAGCTACTCGGGAGGCTGAGGCAGAAGGATCGCTTGAGCCCAGGAGTTTGAGGTTGCTGTGAGCTAGGCTGACGCCATGGCACTCTAGCCTGGGCAACACAGTGAGACTCTGTCTCAAAAAAAAAAAAAAAACAACAAAAAAAACAAAGAGCTTGAGGTAGATCAATTTATTTAATCTTCCCAACAACCCTGTAATTGTAGGCATTTTTTATTCTCCCCATTTTGCAGAGTGGGAAGCTGGGACATAGAGGGTACGTGACTTGCCTGAGGTTACCTAGCCAGTACGTGGTGGCTCTGAGATTGGGACCCTGGCAGAGCGCATGCTGAGCTGTTAATTTGTAACTGGTAGGCCAGATGGCCTGGCACACTTGTGAAATTGCCTTGGACTAGAACAAATGGGAAGCTTATTCCAAACATGCATTTATCCCAGTAACCTCACAGGTCATTCAATATGTAGGAAATGCCATGGAACCAATGACTCAAATAATTTGGTACAAATTTGTTTACCTTTCAGCAGCTTCATAGTTTGAGGAACTTTGGATGTTTGTCTCCATTCTGCTGAACAGAGTAGACCTTTCGATTTAGGTTTAAGGCAAATGCTCTTGATAATTAATGAAGCTACAGAGGCCAATTCTAGGAAAAAATAACACTTTAGCATCCAGCATGATGCAATCTGAAATGCTGGGGCTTTTGCTGTGGTTCTTTTTACACAAAGCACCTCATTGACATCACAAAACCACCGAGGGGTTTCTAGTCACCAAAGGTACAGACGCAGCCTGGGCAGGGAGTTTGCCTCTGCTGAGGATAAAAGCCACGCGGACTTCCCAGCTGAGCGGGTTGTTTCTTCTGCTCTCTAGCTGGCCAGTGCCAGGACCCCTGCAGCGTGTGCGCGAGCAAATGCAGTCCTGGTCCTCTCCTGGGAAACCCTTGGCTTTACAACCAGCCTGACAAGAAAGCCCCTCCTCCCAAACCACTGCCAGGGTGATGGATTCCCATCAACTCCACATCCAGAGTAGAACGTGGAAAATCCGGCTCAGAGCTTCTGAAGAAGCCGCAACAGAGTATTTTATAATAACAGCAAATCCTAAACTTATTGAAGGGCTGTTGATGTGGAAAGTGAAGTTTGGGAAGCCGTTTAAAAATGTGTGTGTGTTTGTAACCCAAAGTGGATGTACACCATCGAAAAATAAGAAGATACAGATAAGAATAAAGCCCCTTCAGGGGATCCCATTTTGCTTATGCACTAAATCGTCCTGTTTAATCTGGGATGGGGGCGCAGGTGAAAAAACAATTTAGACAAATGTTGCTACAAACTTGAGTTTTCCATCAGAATGCTTAGAGAAGGCAACTTGTCAATACCTCTTTCCTTTATAAAATTGTTAACAAAATTAGCATTGAAGAAAATTAAAAGTAAACTGTTGACAGCCTTGGAGAAATAAAGTTGCCAAATTCTCCTGAGATGGTGAGGCTGTTTTTCGGTCCATGCCTAGCACAGCTAACCACTCTGCTGCTGTCGAGCATGGCTGCAGTTTGGTGAACCTGTAGTAAGAAGTCTATTTGCTTTATTTCCCAGACACCAAACGGACTGCTTCTGACCCCGAGTCCACTGCTGTCCAGCATACATTTCTGGAGCAGCCTCAGTCCAGTCGCTCCGCTGAGTCCTGCCAGGCTGCAAGGGCCAAACACGCTGTTCCAGGTGAGTGTTTGGAAATGCACTTTTACACACTGAACTTCTAAGGAACGTTTTTTCCCTCTAAATCCTGCAAGGGTAACAGTTCTGCTGTATGTTTGGTTCACATGTTAAAGGGAGTTCATGTTAATGGGGCTGCAAACCCTTCAGAGGCAGCCGTTTTCCTCGAGGCAGAAATGGCGCACTCATGCCAGGTATCCACAATAGAACAATTAGTTCTTGAAGTGTTTTGGATATTTTCCTTTGATTATGAAAACTGGAAATTTATTTAGGAAAAGGCAGAACTTTAAAAAAATGTTTAATAAAAGCTCATAGAAGACTTTAAAATATTAATCCTATTAGTTAATGTAGTGATTCATTTGAAATAATTCAAAAATAAAAATAGTGAATGATTTCTCCATACTGGGATTGAAAAGTTACCTGATAGTTCTGTGAATCATAATCAGGTTATCCTTGTTCTGTAATAAAAAAAAAAAAGGAGCATCCAGAGCATTTGGTTAAAAAATAATGAAGACTTAGCTGCTTTGTCTTACAGAACTCCCTCTATACGAGGTAAGCACATTCCTTAGTCATCCACACACTACAAACTAGCATTGCTTGCTATCGTGTGAAAATCAGTATTTCCTCTTTTGAGACCCAAAGATTATTACTCACTGACCAAGGTGTTACTGTTTGACTACGAGTACAGGTAGCAAGGATCCTAGGGACAGGAAGGAAGCAAAGGAGGACACATTGCAAACTCCCTCTGCACCTCATTCTAACGCTGTCTCATCCACCCTGCATCCTGTGCCCCCCAGTGTGGCTCACCCTGAGTTAGATGCAGTTCTTTGGCTCCTGCTACACTTAGCACTTTGTGTCATGACTGCCTACTGATCTGGCAGTCTCCCCCACTAGACCGTGGGCTCTCAAGAGACCAGAACTGTGTCCTGTTGACAGTGGTGTCTGTTCCCCACCGTCTAGCACATTGTGTGGTATACAAATGATGCTTGGTAATTATCGTTGACTGTCTAAATGAATTTGCAAAGAGATGTCTAAGAAAGGTAACTGGTTTAAAAATATCAGGTCTTCATGACCTTCTGGGCTGGTCATTTTGCTTGTCGAGGTTAACATTTGCTGGGCACCAGCTCTGTGCCATGAGCTGTACGTGCTGGGATTTAGGGTCTTGTTGGAAGGGTGGAGCCAAAGGGGTTTTGATTACTATCTTGCTTCTCTGGTATCCTAGTGGGGTTGGGGTAGGGTGTCCTTATGCGATCATATCCCTGGAGTAGTCGGGTTTCTCTCTCTCCGCTGGCCTTGATTCCCATCATAAGAAATTGAGCTATGGTCATGCATGGCCAACATGTTGATTTTTAACCACTTTAACTCAGGAAAATAAAAAATTGAAATATTGAATAAAAAACAATAAGCAAATATAGTAGTAGGAAAAATTTAAATTAGGAATACCGATCCTTTGGTGGGGAGATAAAAACACCTCATTTCCTGAAAGTCTCAAGAATAGGGCAGCAGTCGTCTAGTATGAAGTAGAACAGAGAGGAGTTGTTTGGCTGCAGTAAGCTCCATGGGGGGTAGGGATTGTAGTACTGCTCTAATTCTGGAATCTCACCTAGAGCTGCTGTAGAGTTTAGTGTTATTTGTGAATAGTGAGTAGCCTCTTACTTCCCTCCTTACTGGGAACTCTGTCACCTGATTGGTGCAGGGCTTGGTGCCCTCCTAGGAAAGCCATGGAGAACCATTGACTGGGGGGGGGGGGTTCTTTGGGGTCCCTTGTCTTAGCTACTAACCTTTTTGAGCCCAATACTCTCGATAGTGACAATGGCTCCTGTCCACAATGGCTGTACACATTATCAGGCTCTCTGGGAGCTGGCAGATGTGCATACCCTCTGCTCTTCAGTCACTGCCATAGACCAGTGGTTCTCAAAGTTAGTGTGCAACAGAGTCACATGGAGGGTGTGTTAAAGATTGCTGGGCCCCAACTCCAGAGTTTCTGATTTAGTAGGTCTGAGGTGGGGCTTGATAAAAACATTTCTTTCAAGTTCCCAGTGATGCCACTGGTCCAGGAACCACAGTCTGAGAAGCACTGCAGACCAGTGGTTCCTAATTTACATTTAGAATTCCACAGAAGAATTACTACATTTAAAGGCTATTTGCTTAGAATATTAACTTTAATTTCACCAAATGGACCTGTTCTCTCTCCTGGAGCCATTCAAATTACAACCTGGTCTAGATGGCAGACAGGCTGCATGGCCTTGGGCCCTATTTTCATGGTTGGATCCATGAGAGTAAGGAAAAATAATTTTGTACCTTTAAAAGTATTATTCCCTTCCTGTGAAAAGAGCAATTGAATGTGGTAAAAGTTGAAAGTAGCAGTTTTGAAAATGGTAAACAACAAAAAACAGCAAGAAGAGTAACATTTTGATTTTTAAAACTAAACATTACCACTGATAGATTTTCAGAATTCAGATTGCTATCAGCAATGTCCCTTTTAAACTAATGAAAATAATTTTCTTTCAAAATAACAAAACTTTTTCACATACGCTGTGTGTTGGAGGAAGGAAAAAATAGATTTGGCCTATAAATTGTAAGTGATGTTGGCAGGTTTCCTATTGCCACGATTGGAAAGGTGTCAGAATCCTTAGGGTAATAGTTGACAGAGCTGGGGGGTGTTTGCACAGAAGATCCCCGACACAATTATTATAGCAGATACTGAAGAATTTCAGGGAGGGAGAAAGAAGACAAGATACGAGCCTTTCTGGAAGAGGTATGCTTTGTAATTGAGAAATGTTTTAATAAAGAGAGAGGTGCCAGAGACATTGTGCTAAATGTCAATATAGAACCTTGGTTTATAAGTAAAGTGAAATCTGATTCAACTGGACAGTTTGACATTTTGAACTTGTCCACAGGATGTCTGTTCCACCTTTTGAACTTTTGAAATAGATTTTGATCCAATTTGGAATATACCTAGTAGGAACAGGTACATCTTGAAACAAGGGGGGACTAATTCAGTTTTTAAATGAGAATGTGTTCTGTAATTTTCAGTTCAGCAAATCTAACCCAGCAAATATTTGCAGTGCTCTGCGGCAGGGACTATAGGGACATACAATGTGTGGATAATAGATGAGCAAACAAAGTGCTGCAGGAAGCCGACGACACAGTAGCTCTTTTCAGCTGGGGACTGGACAAAGGCTCCAAGAATCGGCATCTGAGCTTGGAAGAAGGGACAGGACTTTGAGAGAGAGGGTCTTGGAGGCTATTAGATCTGAGTGACTGGGATACGAAAGTCTGCTGAGGAAGGGACTGGGTGAGAGGAGACCAGGTCGACAAGCAGCCGTGGGCCTTGTATGCTCAGGAGTTTCTCCCTTAATCTGTTGTTATGTGTTGCTAAGGCTTTTAAAGCTGGAGATAGGGCGAGATCTCTATTTTAGAAAAATATCGCTGATATGAGTGTGGAGGAAGAACTAAAGAGGGAAGGATAGGAAGTTAAGAGGAAATTATCATACTATAAATACTGAGGGAAGAACCATATTTTAGAGTAGAACAGTAGACATAGGAATACATTAGAAGACATTTCAGAGGTAAGATTGAGAGGAAGACGTCGTGTTGGGGGTTTGAGGAGTAAGTAGGTAGTGAAAAGTAGGAAGAGGCAAAGATTACTAAGTGATTAAAAGACTGGGGAAATGCTACTAATAACAATAGTTAACATTTATTGAGGGCTTACTGTGTGCCAGACATTGTTCTAAGCATTTTTTTTTTGTGGCTTCTCATTTAATACTTCCAGTAGTTCTATTTTAGAGATGAGAAACTAAGGCACAGAGCTGTTACTCAGCTTACCCAAGATGGGACACTAATAAGTGGCAGAGCCCTGATGCGAGTTTTGGTGTGTGTTCCTAACCACCATTTTCACTGACTTAGAGTTAACACCAGAAGAGCAGGTTTTGTGGGGAAGGGGGATTGGGTGGGACATCTCAGATGGAGATGGTTGTCAAGTCCAGGCACAGTATTGGAGGAAAGAAGGCTGAGGACCAAAGTTTGGGGGAATGATGCAATTTAAGAAAGGGGACTGGCAGGAGAAGAGCCAATGAAGATGAATAAGAAACATGCTAGAAAAGCCAGGGTCATCAAGAGAAGCTATGGGCATTGAGTATATAGAAATAAAGAGCTCCAGGTAATTTATTTTAATAAACAGAAGATTAACAAAACCAAAGCTGAGTTATTTTGAAAATACCAATAAGATGGATAAAAACCAAAAAGAGAGAAGATGAAAAATAAAAGCATAAAAATGCAAAACTTATCTTCCAAGTGTTCACTCTTAAGGAAGAGTGGTTAAGAAGCACAGACCTTTAAAAAAAGTATAAATTTTTATGTGGGTAGGTTTGATAACACAGTTGAGGTGGGTAAAATTCTAGAAAAAAATGAAAACTCCAAAGTTCCAGAGAAGAAATAAAAACCTTGAATATACCAATAAGCTTTAAATAAACAGTAATTAAAGATACCCCCTAAGCCCTGCCAAAATAAGAAGTTGGGCAGTTTGGTACAGAAAGATTTCAATCAGTTTAAAATTTGGCTTTGCTGCTTATTAGCTGTGACCTTTAGCCAACAATGAAACTTACCTGAATTCTGTTTTCTCATCTGTAAAACGAGGATAAGAAAATTTAGGTTACAGCCCTTAGATGTCAAATGAAATGACATCCCTTGATAAACTCTGGGGCACTAAACATAAGTTATTGAAACAGCTTGAAAACTGCAAAAATATATTTACTTTGTTCTGTAAGTATTTATTGTACGTCTAACATGTGCCAAGCCCTGTCATTTGATATTTAGTGCTAAGTTTAATATTTAATTTACCTGGACTAAAGAAGAATTAAGCTAGAGGACAGCCCAGGGGATCATTTTGACACATCATGCTGGACAATGAAAAATCTAGTTGTGAGTAGTCGTGTACTAAAAGGAGGCCTTAATTATTCTTGTTCAGTTGGGATTACAGCTGACGTATTTGTTTCAGACCTGAAACTTGGTATCAAAGCATATATGCCTTTTATCCTGCTATTTATCATCCTAGTTACCAATAACACAAATTAACTAACATGCTTGAAGCTCTGACTTGGGTGGGGCAAAGGCAATATATGTAACCTCAACATTTGTACCCCCATAATATGCCAAAATCAAAAAAAATTACTCGTGACATTTATTCTTTATCACTTATGGGTGATCTAATAAGTTTGATATTATTTACCATTTTAATTGGAAAGAATACTTTCTCAGTTCCAAAATAATCTTCCTATTCTGAATATTTCAAGATAAAAACATTCCTCATTTTTAAGTTACTAAGAGGCATCTTTGTGTAGTACTCTGGAAAACTGATGGCGAATTTCAAAATACAGTATTAGAAATTAGTAACATGTAGAGTCTTGCTCTCAAAAAAATTTTTTTCTTAATATTTAAAGCAAATCAGCATTCTAAGTAGCTTGGAACCTTTGAAAAACAGTATTTAGAGACTGGGAATGGTGGCTCATGCCTACGATCCCAGCACCTTGGGAGGCCAAGGTGGGAGGATTGCTTGAGGCCAAAAGTTGGAGACCAGCTTGGTCAACATAGTGAGACCTCATCTCTTAAAAAAGAAAAAAAAATAGTCCTAGCTAATTGGGAAGCTGAGGCAGGAGGATCCCTTGAGCCCTGGAGTTTGAGGTTGCAGTGAGCTATGATTGTGCACTGCACTCTAGACTGGGTGACAAAAAAAAGAACATGCTTTAGCAGCATATAAAGTACATATTATTTTCTAGTAGCCTGTGCATGTAGAATAATTAGGGACATTTTCTGGGTCTTATCCTTTGCTCTATGTAATTTTGATCTTATTATCATCTTCTAATTATTCTGTAAAGTAGACTGGCAACTGACCTCTGTCACAGGGGTGATGACAGAACTGAACCACTGTGGTCTGTTTGGGAATATAAAAAAACTCAAGTTCTTCCCCATGGATTTGCAATAATTATCTGAAATATGTTTTGTCCCCTACAGTTCCCCACACTGCTTAATGGTCACATGCCAGTGCCAATCCCCAGTCTGGACAGAGCTGCCTCTCCAGTACTGCTCTCTTCGAACTCTCAGAAATCCTGATGACGTCTCGCCACAATTAAGGACTCATTAACTGATGAAACATGTCCCCATGGGCTACTCTACCTGTGTCATGGGAAGGATATTGTGAAACCCTGTTAATTTGGTTTGCACTTTTCATAACATGAATAGTCTAGATTTATGATAGCATTTTAAAAACTGGGTTTTTTATATATTCAAGTATATATGAAAATCTGTTTTGCATTAAGTGAATTTTAATGTTTTTGTTTTTATATCCTGTTAGCTCTTAAGTGTTGAACACTGTTGACAGTGAAGAACTTTTTTTAATGGTTTTCAGTATAACTAATAAGGATGTGAAGTTTTTTCTCTCATTAATTCTGCATATGCTGAACTGTGCTTATATACACTATAACCAGCTGTGCCTTCCTTTGCATTTAGTTGTATGTAAATGGTTTATATATTTTTTAGTATTAAGAGAAAAATGTTTGAAAGACAAAAATTAGTATCAAACAGCTATTAGAATTTCATTATTTTTCACAAGTGGCAATATGAAAGCATATTCATGTAACTTTTTCTTTTTTTGCTTTCAATTGTATAAGTATTGCCTTAGAACCTCTTTTGAACTGAAATCCAGTAAATGTAATGTCCAAGTAATGTTTTTATAAGAATAAACTAAGCCATATTTAGACAATAAACATTCATAGAAGAAAATGTTCTAAAGTGCATTTTTTAAAAAATGAACTTTGAAGGGCTAGCTGTTTACAGTGTCTTTTAGATTCCTCCCAAACAAAAATCTGAGCTGGAAAAGCTACATCAAGTTCATGCTATCCAAGCCCCTAGAATATTTCCTAGGTTAGCATGTTCTTATTTCAAAAAATTAGCCCTGGTTCTTCCAATTTTTGATAGAGAATCTAACCATCTGATGTATTTATGGTGTCAGTGTGAGTTAGGGTTTCTCTAAATCCCTGGAACTATAACACACATTTAAACCTCTAATGCTTTGGAAGAGGCTAATAGACTGGTGATGAATCCAAATAACAAAGAAAGAATTCTGTAACACCAGCTATCTTATCTTTTGTGCATGTAGAGGTCTTCACAATTTTTGATGGATAAAAAAAACTTGCCTGTAACACACATAGAGAACTAGGGGTATGGAAGGCCTTGCTTGTGGAAATTCAGAGAGGTAGGCTTACACTGCTTTATGTATTATTAAATTTATGGTGAGAGAGAAAGAAATCTGGTAAGAAAAATTCTTCAGGAACCTCGTCGTGGAACTGATTACGTAACAATTTGGAATGCTGCACTCAATTCTTGTTTGGAGCACACAAATGTATTTTCCGTTCCTTCAAAAAACCAGTCCAAAAGCACCATACCTACCTGTACATGAAGTAGAATATTCTAATGTAAGATATGAGAACTAGAAAGTACCCACAGCTTTTAAATTCAAGATTAGGTTAATTATTAATTATAAGTAACAGAAATCAATTTGAGATGTAACTATTAATAACTGATCCAAACCAGCCATTAAAAGGCAGGGATTATGAGAAAAGCAAAAAAAAATGAGGTTTGTTGAAAACACATTTTTTGAATTTTCAAAAAATCTAAAATATTGTTTTACTACTTACAAATTTTGAAGTGTACAACTGGAATCGAGCATCTCTGTGTCGGGGGATGTGTGCCCTGATCGAGAGGAAAAAATCCAAAATATACCTCTTTGACTGTAAGTAATGGGACTGGTTCCCAAATCCACAAATAGACACTACTGTCACCCCCTCACAGGCTAAGTATAATTTTGTACTACAATAAAAGGAACTGGTCCAGGGAGCTGATACTTACTGAACATAAAACGTTGGTGCTAGAAGGGGCCTTTGAGAATGCTTCTCACTACCTATTTCCAGCTCAGGACAAGGGCACACCAGAAGGTGGGTGTTGCCTACGGTCACACAGCCCACAAAAGGTAGGACAATGACTGGTGCTCAGTCCAACTGCTTCTCCATGTGTAGCTGTAAGTAGCTACTGGTTCACAACTGTATGTTGGCAAAAAAACAAAGCATTTAATATTGTTTTGCCAGATAAGAGAACACATCCAAAATGCAGGACTCTTGTAGAGAAACTAGCTAAAAGGAGTTTAATCTGCAAAAATCCCAACAAAAAATATTTAGTATAATTTTTACATGTAAATGCTGATTGGAAATATTCAAATAACTATAAATCAGATTTTTTTCTTTTCCTCCAAATATTGTGATTAATGTATACTCTAGATCCATTTATTAGAAGTGGAAAAATACCACAATTTTTGATGGATCAAAGTACTTGCTATATAACAATCAGAGAACTGGAGGTATTGAAGTATAACTCTTATAGCTCTGCCTCATTCTGTTTTTTTTACACAAGTATTTTAGTCAAAAATTAGGTTTCAAAGAATATTAAGTAACTTTTTTTCCTTTTAATATGTCTGCTTGATCAGTGTTAAACTGCTATGGCTAAAGTTTTATAGAACTATATAACCTGAATGTTGGTCTCTTCGTACACATATTTTCTATGACTACAAATCTTCACTTTCATATATGTATCATTTTTACTGTCATATTATTTTTGTTCAATAAATACTTTGTGATAAGAGGTGTTTCAAGGCAAGTGGTCTAGTTTACTTCCATTTACTTGGGATGACCCAGACTGCACTTTTCCATGTGGATACAAGTTAGAACATGAGTCTTGTTTACCTGTAAATATGACACATCAAAAATAATGCTTTAAATACAGATATTGTAAGAAAGAAATATCATTACTGAGACCCTATCTCTTTAAAAAAATCCATATATTAGGCAAAGTGGGCTATTGCTGTGATATAAAGAGAGGCATTCTAAGGAAAGGCAGAGTTTCATAAGGGCAATAAGAGTTGGCTTGTTGATAAACCAAAGATATCCCTGCCTGTAGGGTTAGCACTAAAGAATACATGACCTTCAGTTACCCTCTTCCAGATGAGTCAGGTCCCTAAGACCCATTTTTATTTTATCACTGGATGACATGATTTCAGTTAATGATAGCAACCACTTATAAACCACTTATGTGATAGGAACTCTTCTAAGCGTGTTACATGGATTATTTCATTCAGTTTTCCCAACAACCGTATGAGAAAATTACCTTTATATACCATTTTATGGATGAGGAAATTGAGGCCTAGAGTGGTTAAGCAAGTGGCCCAAGGTAACAGAGTTGGCCAGATTTCAAAATCAGCATTTTGATCTAGAGGCCATGATCTTTAATACTTCGAAAGAGCTTAAACTAGCAATCTACATCTGCACATAGAACAGCTACATGTTTGCTATATCACTGTTTTCTGGGAGAGCAGATTTTCAGTCATTGTAGAGCTGGTCCTACTTAGACTTCTCCAGTATTGAGAATTCCTCAGTGGCGTGCATGTTTTGAGAACAACTTGATTATAGGAGGTTAGTTCCTGAGTTCCTGAAGAGTCACATATTTTAGCCTGCTAGGAAGAAAAGGTTTCTTTTCTATCACCAAATTTTGACTGCTGCATTTGTTTCTGGTACATTGAGAGAGGAGACAAATCCAAGTTAATATTAACCTAACTGACAAAGATTACTCTTAACTCAAAATCTCTTCTTGCATGTGTGTCTTAATCAACAAATTTGTTACCCTAAAATCTATCAGGTACTGGCGATATAGAGAAGACATAATACTTTCCTTCATGAAGCTTATGATTTAGTGAGGGGGGAAAAAAGTGTGATTAAGTGTTGTTATAGGGTTAAGTATAAAGATGCTACTGGAAAGGAAGGCAGTTAAACAGCAGGACACATAACCCAGTCTGTGGTAGGGTTGGGTATGGGTCAGGGAAGGCTTTCTAGAAGAAGTAATTTAATTCAGACCTGAAGAATGAGTAAGAATAGTAAAGAGTAGAAGAATACAAGAAAAGAGTAAGTAGAGGACAGAGCATGTTTCATGATCAGGTGAAAGAGGAAACATTTGAGGAACTCAAAGATCAGTATGGTTGGATTCACCCTCACTGAGAACGAAGCCGATATAGTTCATCATCATATGAGACAGTAAAGTAGAAATCAGTAGCAATAGAGTCTAAATTCAAAAAGCAGGGAGGGAACTTGTAGATCACTGAGGAGTAATGAGGGAGTGATTGGCTAGGATTCTGTGGAAGACCAAGATGGCAGAACTGGGCTCACAAAGCAATCTTTTGCTGATTTTCAATGTTTCTGGAAAGATGGGACATGAACATCATCCAGAGATGAGCTATACATAGCCCATGACAGTACCATGTCACTCATTCCTCACTTGACAACCTCAGCTGCATCTGAGGGAGGAAATAACAAGATGAAGAAGATGATGCCTACAACTATTTTGGCTGCAAGAATGTGGAACAACTATTGTCACTACAGCTGGAGAAATGCCTGAAGCTTGTGTGGCACTATTTCCACTAGCATTGTGCTAGGAAAGATTCAAAGGAGTCCTAGGAGGGTCTTGTCTAAGTCTCAAGTCTGTATTCACTAAAATTCCATGCCTCAACCAGAGTCCAACGGACCCATCCTTTTGTGAGCACATATAAGACTGTTGGCAGATGCTAGGCTTCCTAACCACCCGAAAAGCGCTGCCTGCATCTAGATGGTCACCAGTACGTGTTCATCCTCATGACCAAAGTATCTCAGCATCACCACTACAGCGGGGCAAAGGTGGAAGGGAGCAGTGTTCGTGGTCCCTATTCCAGCCTCAGTCCTCTTTCTCTGTCTCCCTTTCAAAAATGCACACCTGTGCACTTAGCCCCTACATGTACTCTGCTCAACAGAGGTTTAGTTTACAGTTTCTGAAGTGGTACCCTTACAGAAATGGTTTTTCTTATTTGAAGGTTGAATTCTTCTATTCTCTTAGGGAGAACTGACCAATGAAAACTCCTCCCCATCATCACAGATCAAAATTTTATTTTCTTTTCTGACCAAAGCAGCTTTATAATCAGTGACTTGGTCACATTCTCCCTGTTTTAGTCTAACAGAAAATTGGTGACTTCAGTGCTTTTTCTGGGTCAGTGATGGAAACTGATTATTAACTTCAGCTAGGAATGATGACAGCTGAGGGAAACTCCTGCCTGTTTAACTAAACCTAGAATCTCAATATTAGAAAAGAAGTTCCCGTTTCAGGCTGAACAGAAGTCTGAAGTAAGGCATTAAAAACTTTGGAGATTTCTAGTTTGGAACATACAGAAGTGTACAAATTCTTTAGGCAGCCTGCTCATGGGCTTGTCCTGCCACTTAAAATTTTGATATGCGCCAGGTGTGGTGGCTCATGCCTATAATCCTCACACTTTAAGAGGCTGAGGTGGGAGGATTGCTTGAAGCCAGGAGTTTAGGCCAGCTTGGGCAACATAGCGAGACCCTGTCTCCCCATCTCTATTAAAAAAATAAAAAATAATTTGTTATGGATAAACTTGTCAATAAAAAAAGAGAGATTCAATGTAAGAACATAGATGAGAATATTTAAAAAATAAAACCACTGACATTAGAAATAATAAATTCAAAAGGATTACATTTGGGGCTGAATCTTAAAAATCATGTGAACTGAAAATAACCAAAAAATATACAGGAAAAAAAAAGGAAAGAATCAAAATGGTATACTACAAAAAACCAATGAAATAAAAATAAGGCAGTGTTGGAGGAACTGCAGAATGAGAAGCATATAAGGCATACAAAAAACAAATAGCTAACTGACAGAAGTCTTTCCTTATCAGTAATTATTTTAAATGTAAATGGTTTAAAATCTTCAATTAAAAGGCAGAGATTGGCAGAATGGACAAAAAACTACGATCCATCGACATGCTATCTACAAGAGACTCACTTTAAATACACAGACATAAAGAGGTTGGAAGTAAAAGGATAGAAAAAGATCCCATCCAAATAGTAACCAAAAGAGATATGGGAAGGCTTTATTTTTATCAAAGAAAATAGACTAAAATAGTAAAAACAACAACAACAACAAAAGAAAACGGGAATAGGACATTATATATTAATAATAAGTTCAATCCAACAAGTAGATATATAACAATTATGAACATATTTGCACCCAATAACAGAGCCCCAAAACATACGGTGCATATACTGAAAGAAGTGCAAGGAGATGTAGATAGTTCTACAATAATAGTTATAGACCTCAAAACTTCACTTTCAATAATAACCAGATAGAAGCTCAATAAAGAAATAAAGAAAGTGAACACTACAAATCAATTACACCCAAAAGACATGTAGAAAACACCAGACCCAATAACATTTTTCACAGAATGAGACATATTTCTCAAGTGCGCGTGAAACATTCTCTAGAACAGACCATATGTTAGGCCACAAAACAAGTCTTAATAAATTTTTGAAAACTGAAATCATACAAACTATCTTTTCTGACCACAATAAAATTAAACTAGAAATTAATAACAGAAAAGGAAAACGCACAAATATGTGGAAATAAAGCAACACACTCTTAAACAACCAAAAATCAAAGACAAAATCACAACAGGTATTAGAAAATACCTTGAGACACATGAAAATGAAAACACAATATGCCAACACTCATGGAATATGCTGAAAGCAGTGCTGAGAGGAATATTTATAGCTTTAAATACCTACATTAAAAGAGAAAAATCTCAAGTCAATAACCTAACTGTACATCTTAAGAAAAAAGGAGAAAAAAAACAAAAAACAACCACTAAACCCAAAGCCATAAAGAGTGCAGATAAATAAAATAGAGAATAGAAAAACACAGGAGAAAATGAACAAAACCAAAAGTTGGTTGACTAGATCAGTGAAATTCACAAACCTTAGCTAGTTTGAGCAGGAAAAAAAGACTTAAATTACTAAAATCAGAAATAAACGTGGAGACATTACTACTGAATGTGCAGGAAAAAGATTACAAGGGACTACGATGAACAAGTATTAACATATGCCAACAAACTGGGTAACACAGATTAAATGGACAAATTCCTGGAAACACACAAACTACTAAAACTGATTCAAGAAGAAATAAAAAATCTAACAGAACTGTAACTAGTAAGAAGATTGTATCATTAATCAAAATCTCTCAACAAAGCAAAGCCCAGGACCAGATGACTTTATTCATGAATTCTACCAAATATGTAAGAATTAATTGAAGAGGAGGGAACACTTCCTAATTCATTGTATTAAGCCAGCATTACCCTGATATCAAAGCCAGACAAAGATACAAGAAAACTACATGCCAAATCCCTTAGGAACGCAAGCAAAAATCGTCAACAAAATACTAGTGAACAGAATTAAGCAGCATATTAAAAGAATTATATGCCATAACCAAGTGGGATTTATTCCAGAAATACAAGAGTCGTTTAATATTTGAAAATCAATTAATGTAATACACATTAATAAAATTAAAAAAAAATGATCCTCTCAATTGATGGAGAAAAAGCATTTGAAAAAAACCAATATTCTCTCACGAAAAAACCCCAAATAAACAGGAATAGAAAGGAACTTCCTTAACATGTTACAAGGCCATATATAGAAAACCATAGCTAAAAGTATACTTAATGGTGAAAAACCAAAAGCTTTTCCCTTAAGATCAGAAATAAGGCAAGGAAGGATACTCTCCTTTCACCACTTCTATCAACACAGTACTAGAAATCTTAGAGCAATTAGGCAAGAAAAAGAAATAAAACGCATCCAAATTAGAAAGGAAGTAAAACTCTCTCTCCTTGCAGATGACATGATTTTATATCCAGAAAATCCTAAAGAATCCACAAAAAGCCAGTTAGAACTAATAAACAAATTCAGTAAAGTTGTAGGCTATAAAATCAACACACAAAAATCACTTATATTTCTATACACTAGCAATGAAAAAAATCCAAAAAGAAATTAGGAAAACAATTCCACCAACAATAACATCAAAAAGAATAAAATACTTTAGAATAAACTTAATCAAGGAGACACAAGACTTGTGCATTGAAAACTACAAAATGTTGCTGAAAGAAATTAAATACGACCTAAATAAATGGAAAGACATCCCGTGCTCATGGACTGGAAGACTTACTATTGTTAAGATGACAATATTACCCAAAGTGATCTACAGATTCAAATTCAGTACAATTCCTATAATAATCTCAAAGGTGGTAGACTTTTTTTTTTTTTTTTGGCAGAAATAGAAAATTCCATCCTAAAATTCAAATGGAATTTCAAGAGACCCTGAATAACCACAATAATCTTGAAAAAGAACAAAGTTGGAGGATTCACACTTGCCAATTTCAAAAATATTAAAGTGTGTGTGTGTGTGTGTGTAATATATATACACACACACACACACACACACACTCCCCCCAAAGAACTGAAAACAGGGAAACAGATGCTTGTACACCAATGTCCATAGAAGCATTATTCACAGAAGCTAAAAGGTAGAAAATTCCAGTGTCCATCAACAGATAAATGTGTATAATTATAATAGAATATATTCAACCATGAAAAGAAATGAAGTTCTCATATATGATGAACATGGATGAACTGTGCTGAAACATTAGGCTGAATGAAATAAGCCAGACACAAAAGGACAAACGTGGGATGATTCCACTTATATGAACTATCTACAATAGGCAAATTCATAGAGAGAGAAAGTAGACTGAGGTTACCAGGGGCTGAGGGAGGGAAAAATGGGGAATTATTTCTTCTTAATGTGTTCAGAGTTTCTGTTTGGAGTGATAAAAAAATTTTGGAAATAGTGGTAATTGTTGTACACCTTTGTGAATGTAATTAGTGCCACCGAATTGTACACTTAGAAATAGTTAAAATGGTATCTTAACACAATAAAGAAAAAAGTAAAGAGAAAAACAACCCACATCAATTGTTCTGAGTCCAAAAGATAGATTATAGTAACATGTTAACAGGCAGTCTTTCAAACCAAAGCCAATAAAGCACCAGACAGAATGCAGCCCATCTGTGCATCCAGAGTGACACATCTACAACGTGTGTTAACAGTACCACTTGGAAAGAAAATTAAAAAGGCATCTTCTCTTACCTTTAAGAACCTCATCAGTTTAGAGGAATCCTAAGTGTTCAGCTCAAAATTTCTAAGTTTGAATTCTCTTCACTGCAAAGTTTTCAGGATCTGAATGGTGGTGCTCAAGTATCAAAAACAGAAAATATCTGTTTGCTTGCCAAATTCCTTAATAAAATGACAAACACCCCTGGGACTGCACAGGAGAAAATTTTATGTAACAAACGGATGTATTTCTTCACCTTTTAAATGCCAAGAATCAAACTTACGGGTAACTATATGAAAAATTTGCAAGAAATCAAATATATATCCTATGAAATCACTAATTTGATACTTTATAACTGACAGTGCTATCCTATAAAATTACAACAGAGATTACTAAATAAATGGTTGGCACAAATATAAAGCAGTTATCACTTTTGGCACAGTGAGACTTCATTATCTTAAAAATGACCCATAAAAGAAAATGATCCCACTCTGCACAGCCTTCTTCCCCAAGAAAGAACTGTGACTCAACAAAACCACATTTTAACAACATGGAGATTTTGTTATTATAAATTTCAAAACAAAATGGAAGAATTTCCACATAATATTTATAACCTTCAGAGTACAATATTAATACATGTCTGTCAGTTAGAAATAACAGCAGTTTTGTTAGGCTACAGGGTTTAACATAAAACCAATTTACAAATGTGAAAAGCAGTAGTGGTCCAATATTCACCATTACACATGAATCCGTTTCTTCCAGAAAATTTTTTTTTAAAAAATTAAAATTTCATTATCATGAAATATTAAAATAACACCCCCAAACATGCCACAATCACTATTCACAAATAAAGTTAAAATGAAATATACAAAAATTCACTTAATACTGTTAAATAACAACAATAAACTACAAGATTTCCTGAACAGAAATGGTAGGACCCCTGAATGTTTTACAGTGAATTTCAGGAAAAAAAATTAAGTTATGACTATTTTCATGATATATTAGGCAAAAATTTACATGACGATTTCAAAATATACCAATTAAGATTTATAAGTTTGTAAGATGCACTAAACAAATAGTCCTTAAAAGTGAACACAAATGCTTAAAAACACCAATATCAAAGTGTGTTTATGATGTTCAGAGATGCATAATTAAAACTGGAATATTTAGTATCTCTGGTAAACAGGTAATACCTACAATGCTTTAAAGCAATCCTATAAGTTCTCATTTCTCTTATTTGTAATTTGTCATGGCTCACTGAAAAGACATATTATAGCTTTCAGCTGATTCCAAGTGAATGTTATTGAAATGCACACAGCCCCCAAATGAAATAAACTGTTCCCCAATGAAGTATCATCCTTTCTAATAAAGTATTTTAAACAAATGAATGCAAGACGTTTCATGTCTGAATGGACTCATATGGTTAAATTTTAACTAAATTAAAGCACAATGTAAAATAGGTAAGTGTATTAGTATAAAAATATCCAGTAATACACAGTAGGCATTTCTAAAATGAGGAATAAGTAAAAATAAATAATTTTGATGCTTTAATTTACTGGTGTCTAATGTGAGATTCCCAAAATGTCAAGTGTTCACTTGCTTGAATCAACTTCTGCGTCACATGCTTTCCTAAAAAAAATGTGCTTATCAATCTCTTAGCTATTTTATTTGCCAATGTTCAGTAAGAAATTATATAGCATAAACTTAGAGTGTTCAAGATGGCTCGCTCACTTATTTTACTGTTAAGCAAAGCTAAATTTACATTCTAGGAAACACTGCAGTTTAATTTTAAAAACAAACAAACAAAAAATGCAGCAGTAAAACAATTCATGAGGAGAAACAGATGCATTCACATATAATAAAGCCACTGCAACTTCTTCAGGCATTCAATTGTTGTGTTAAATAAACAAACAGTAGTTATTTAGCAGCAATGATTCCGCAATAAATAATGCACTGTGTTTCTCAGTCCTGCACAAAAATTGCAGCTACAGTTACATCAACAGCTGTAACCTACTGGCTCTAATGGCAGAGAAGACCTTAAAACTGACTGTACAAAAAAAATTGTCACACTGTGACAACAAATATAAAAACAATCTGTAGGTCTGAAATAAAAAGACTCCACTGTGAAGAGGACAGTGTAGACAAACAAAGATTCCAAGTCCACCAAAAGAAATAATTGCCTTCAGATCTGAGTCCTTGATTGATAAGAAAGGCTGTGGGCTGGGCTTGAAACCATGTTATCAGACTTAAAAGAGCATGCTCTGTCTTCTGTTCTTCCCATGTCCTAAAATATAAAGTCATTTTATGAGGCAGTTCAAGGTTCAGTTTTATCCCACATACAGTATTTGGTGACTCTAGGAAACTAACGTTCCCACCAGCAAAAGCTAATATTCCACGGTGAGAGTAATCAGCACTGTCTTAAATGACCCTTTTGTGGATGGGGTCAGTCTACAGCTTCTATGCTTCGAAGTGATGAACCTGATGACTAAGGAAGCACAAGATGTGTCTTCTGCCTCAGGTACCAGGGATGGCGTGTGCAGTGATCAAGCCAGGTCACTTGTAAAAGGTCTCTGTGCCATCTGCAGCTTTCAGGATCCCTGACTTGACTGAGTCAGATTTCTCTCTGAAGATCTACTGAGCTGCCCACATCATACAGAAAAGTGAGTACGTGCAATGCTAAACATACACAGTGGTGGAATGCACTGTACATTGGTTTTTACATCAATAATTTTACTGATCAATTTATAAACCAAAAGCTTGGTTCCACACAAAAATTTATGATCGACACGTGAAATGGTTTATGACAAACACACCTGTCTCTGGATAAGAAGAATTTCGAAAACCCGGGTCCTTTTGCAACTGAATTTCTTTCAAACTGAATATTGATACACCTATAAAATGCATACATAAAAATTATCAGGTGATACTCTAACATTATTAACAACAAACATAACCCAACTACAGGCAAATGCTTAAAAAACGTACACTGATTCAACATGAAACCATTATACAAGGTTATAGACCTGGTGAAGTATTTTCCTTTTTGTCCCAATGTTTTGAGGAGAAAACCAAGCGAAGCAATCGCCCTTCAGAATCTTTCTTCCCCCAACTCCGGGTTATACCATGCTGCAGGGTGTTTCTCTGGAGAATATTCACTGTCTATTCCAGGACTTACTGGGGTTGGGAGACCCAGTCAAAATGTATCATGAGGTTCTTATTCTCTTTCTGTCCTTTATCTCTGTCTCCTTATCATCAGGCCCTCAAGCTATCTTCCAATTTTTTGTAAAAAACAAGGAATAGGTTGTACAACTGTAACTGCCTACCTCAAGCTGAAACTTGATATTAATAGTGATATGCAAATATTATCTTAAGAAAACTTGTAATTCACCTCTCTCATTTCCAATCTCTGTCAGAGAGATAGCCTTTCATTTAAAATTATCCAGTAAGTTCTAAGTGAAAAGCCATAAGGATTTTTAATTCCAATTAGTTTTGTCACTGACTGCTACATAAACCTTGACGAATCAATACTGTGTAGTAAATGAGAATGGGAAATTAATGAAAGCTTTTGGCAGCTCAGTTCCCAGATATTCTCCTAATTTCCCACTCACTCCATTCTAAAGTAAAATACTGGGGTAATTTGAAGAAAGAATGTCATTAATAAAACCAAAGAGTTACTTCAGACATGAGGAATCTGCTAATCTAGTGACTCTGACAGTACGCTCTGCTCTGTCAAGGAAAATTATCTTTATATCTTAAGAAGGAAATGCACTTTCACAAGAAAACAATCTTACGTTTCGGTTGTGCTTCATTAGTCTTTGCTTGCAATCCACTTTTAATAACTCTGAATCAAAGCCAGATTGGATGTAGGGACAATACCTGTCATCAGATGGCATATCCCAACCTAATTCCAATAAGATTAATGACCCATGCCTAAGTACTATTGATTTCTTACAGAGCAGTGGCAATGTGCCCAGTGCTATAAGAAATAAATTAAAACAGGAAAATAAGACATATACTTCCCTTCAAAAAATGCTGATCTAATTATAGGAAAGACTAGAATTTCAGGCTTAAAAATCAATTATCATCATTCTTTCTAAACCCTTAATTCACCTCAGTTCCCAACACCGGACAAATAAAAATAAAGGGGGAAAAAACTTTAGGATTTCTCTTACTTTCTGGTAAAGCATGTATTCTTGGTCCCAAACTGCGAAAGTACACATGTTTCATGGCCTCTTCTGCTGAAACCCTTTTCTTAGATTCATACTGTGAAAAAGCAAAGAACTGCTTCACTAACTTTTTCTCCAATTATTGTACAGAGTAGGAGATGGGCAAATGAGCATTTAGAGCTACTTTTTAAAATCTTTATTATTAAATATGACTATTTTTCAAGCACCAATTTGGAGTGCTCCAGATATACTCTGAGTTGCTGTTGAGATTATATAGGAATGATATATCTCAGTTCCACATTTCTTTTTTTTTTTTTTTTTTTGAGACAGAGTCTCACTGTGTTGCCTGGGCTAGAGTGCCGTGGCATCATCCTAGCTCACAGCAACCTCAAACTCCTGGGCTCAGGCGATCCTCCTGCCTCAGCCTCCCGAGTAGCTGGGACTACAGGCATGCGCCAGCATGCCCGGCTAATTTTTTCTACATATTTTTAGTTGTCCAATTAATTTCTTTCTATTTTTTTTTTAGTAGAGACGGGGTCTCGCTCTTGCTCACGCTAGTTTCGAACTCCTGAGCTCAAACAATCCGCCCACCTCGGCCTCCCAGAGAGCTAGGATTACAGGCGTGAGCCACCGCGCCCGGCCTCAGTTCCACATTTCTAACATAACGCTGGATTTTAAATAAAAATTTAGATTCCTTGTGTTTTCTGAAGTGATAAAAAATTAAAAATCTGGCTGGGCGCGGTGGCTCATGCCTGTAATTCTAGCACTCTGGGAGGCCGAGGAGGGCAGATTGTTTGAGCTCAGGAGTTCGAAACTAGCCTGAGCAAGAGCGAGACCCCGTCTCTACTTAAAAAAAAATAGAAAGAAATTAATTGGACAACTAAAAATATGTAGAAAAAATTAGCCGGGCATGCTGGCGCATGCCTGTAGTCCCAGCTACTCGGGAGGCTGAGGCAGGAGGATCGCCTGAGCCCAGGAGTTTGAGGTTGCTGTGAGCTAGGCTGACGCCCCGGCACTCACTCTAGCCAGGGCAACAGAGCGAGACTCTGTCTCAAAAAAAAAAAAAAAAAAAAAAAATCTGACCTTTGGTGTTACCTTTCTTCATGAACACCAAAGGACTGGATGGCAGGCATTCCTAATTATCTATCCAATACTCATTTCCCTTTTTTCCTTGATGATACAACCTAGATCTGTTCAAGGTGTTCATGTTTCCTGCTTCGACAGATGAATCATAAATCATGACTGTTCTAAGTTTAGGATAATACGACAATACTGCTCCCCAAGTCCCAACCTCTCTTACAATTAATGTTCTGGTCAGTGAGGCTTGGGAAGAAGCCTGGCAGGAGTTTCTGCAGAAGCCTTTGCTTTCAAGATATAAGAGGATTAATGTGGCTGGTGCTACCCTTATCCCCCCTCTTCTTCCTGCTTTGCAGGGAAATGTGAATGGTATTTGGAGGTGCAGCATCCTCCAAAGGCTGTAGGTATAAGGAAAAGAGAACATTAGAGAATACGAATTGCAGATAACATGGCCGGTACAGGTGACTACCTCAAAACTGTTCTAGGTCACAAAAAGAGACACAGACACATTAAGAGAAACAATACATATATACATGTACATATATATTTTTTTACTTAAGCATGTGTCTCAAAAGTATGCTAGATACTACCATAGATAACCTTATTTGTCATTAACAATATTTGAGGGAGGTATTACTGGCTCCATTCTACAGATGAGGAAACTGAGGCTTACCTACTCATTTAACAATTGCAAAATAAGATATGACTCACCTGAAGAAATTTTGTTATCAACTCAATTCCTTCAGAGTCTAACCTAAAAACAAGAAAAAACAAGTGGCAATTTATTCTCTTTTAGTTGACAGAAACTTTTCAGATACAACTATTTCCTAAGTATCCTAATCTGCTAAATTTAAGGGCCCTAAAATAGCCACTCTTGTTGCCTTCAAATAGACTCCAATCTGTTTTAGCCTTACAAGACTTATCTTGCCATTTGTTTAAGAACAAACCATAAATTGAACAGAAGCTAAGCTTCAATTCAAATTTTCAATGTGTAAGAACAAATTAATTATTAAAATTATAGAATTTTTTAAAATCACAGTTCTATTTTAAAACAAAGTAACCTCTAGTATAAGGAAAGCTTAAATATTACATAAATTTTTACAGTGTTTCACTTAAGGCAAATGTACAAGAGGATCATTTTCCTACTATACAGGTGAAAGCAAAAAGACAAGTGACCCCAAAATGTATCACTACAGTTTAAGATAAACATAGAGACAAGCCATTCAATAAATTTTTACAGGGTAGTCTGCTCAGCATACTAGAAGGTATTAAGTTCAGTTTGAATAAGCCACAATAACCTCATAAAACTTCCTTAATAAGGGCTACAAAAACAATGATATAGTCAATAAAAACATATAACTGAAATTAATATAGTTGGGAGTAGTCGGGTTAGGGATTACTTTAATGAGATAATCTCTTGTTGGGAAATAATAGGTTCTATCTTGCACAGCCTTTTATGGCAAAAGTACAATTACGAATAAAGAAATATTTTCCCAAATGCTCTCAGTGGGTCCTATAGATGCTGAGGCCTAGACATTCTCTAGACTCTCTATTTCTCTATAGTTTGCCATTCTAGACATTTCCAGAGCTCCCTGGGCAGAGACATAAAGCCATGGAGAATCTGCTTAAAGAAGAGCTTCAGCCTTCTACACTCAACATTCCAACAGCAAGCAATATATAGATGATATAAATAGGATTTATGCTACTTGGGAGAGACATACAAAAAAGGCCCAGCACATATTATTACTCTTCCTAAGAAAGTCTAGTTAGAATGATATCAGTTGCTATAGTAACAATATCAATTCACACAAATACTTCAAAAATATTTTTGGTGTCAGAACTGTTTTCTGCTGTTCCTTTCCTAGCTTGAGGATAAATGGAAGCACAGCAAGTGTGTTATGTTGTAAGCAATGTGAATGGCTTTGGATTAAAACAGATGATGGCCTTATTTGGTGTCTTGGTGACTTTTTAATTTTTTTTTTAAAGGAAAGATGAAAAATGCAGCAAAGGAGTCTGTTATTCTATGTTACTTATTGCAGATGTAATAAATTCCACAAGTAAAAATATTCTGACTCAAATTTTAATGGGCGTCTTGGACTGATACGGGGGTAGGTCTGAGAAGAAACTTTAACTGAATGGTTGACCATTTAGGACATTACATTTTGCTAAGGGATCAGAGTTTACATTCTTCAAATAATAATTATGTCATTAATATTGGCCAAAATACTGATGGGTCATCTTGTGTTAAGAGTCCAGATTTTATTTATATAACACTTTCCTAGGTTTTGATAAGTAAATACAGAACAACTCTGAAGAAAGCAAAACAGAAACTTCATCATTGTCTTCATGGTATGGAATAAGGCATTATCAATGTCTTTTTTCTGGGAAAAGGAACTATCTACATAAACTCTAGAATGCTCATACCTATAGTTATATACTCATTTTAGTTACAGCTCAGTTCTATTTACATACTTTTGTGACTAATGGCCACTGAGAATTATAAAATTAATTTGACATACAGAGAAAGAAAACTGACTAAATTACACCCTAAAATATTTAGGAACTGTACTGTATATTTTTTCCCGAATCCTTACTGTGGCTAATGCTTCAAAACATTGAAAAAAAATCATGTGGGTTTTTCCCTTTTCATTTAAGGAAAAAAAATACCTGGGTGCATGGTTAACCAGAGGCTGTGGTTTATATTTTGGAAAGTTGTAGTTCTTGAATTCCTCGTTTGAAGAAACACCTGGCCAAGTTTCCTGAGAGGGAGTTCCTAAATTAAGAAAAATAAATTTACATATTTTTAAATGCATATAAAAATTTATAAATATAAGTTATTTATATTCATATATATAAATAGGCAGAATTAAGAAAGTGTCTTAGAGAACAATTTACATTTACTAGATGATTTAACTATTTCAACTGCAATTGAAATGACAGAAATAGTAAACATAGAGACTTTTTTTTTTTGGACTATGCAATGATGCCATAAAAATGATGATGCCAAGCCTTTTTTTCTATCCAGCCGACACCATCTAAGTTAGAAATACTCCTTAATAATATGCCAAAGGCCGATTCTCCATAATATTTATTTTCTCTGTTTTTCCATAAAATCCTTATTGCAAAAGAAGCTACCTAGAAGGATCTATCTTCATAATAATTATGCCAATTGTAATTCTTTTAACAGCTATTTATGTTAGTCTCAATATCTTTTTTCTTTCTTTCTTTCTTTCTTTTTTTGAGACAGAGTCTTACTCTATTGCCTGGGCTAGAGTGCAGTGGCGTTGTCATAACTCACTGCAGCCTCCAACTTCGGGACTTAAGTGATCCTCCTGCCTCAGCCTCCTGAGTAGCTGGGACTACAGGCATGCACCACCATGCCCAGCTAATTTTTGTTTTTTGTAGAGATGGGGTCTTGCTACATTGCTCAGGCTGGTCTCGAACTCCTAAGTAATCCTCCCGCCTTTGCCTCCCAAGTGCTAGAATTACAGGTGTGAGCCACTGTGCCTGGCCTCGGTATCAAAATTTTAAATACATATTTTAGAGACAATCTTATCTAGCTAGTCAATTTTAGGTTCAAAATCACTGAGAAAAGATATCTTCTGTTACCTAGCAGTCGGAAAATTAAGTGCAGTTCATCTTCCACGGTTGATCCTGGAAATAGAGGTCTTCCAGAAGCCATTTCAAAGAAAATGCAACCAACACCCCTTTAAAATATATCATGAAAAAAAAAATGAGCAATCCATTTACATATTGTGAAGCACAAGAATCTTTTCCTTAAGATTGCCTTTCTGGAGAATTCTGTACTGGCTTGCTACAATACCTCCTGCAGATGTATTTTAGATTCAACTAATTTGTTAACATTTACCCTGTCTGAACTTCCATATTGCTATGTCCATTTTTCTCACTTAAAATGTCCAGCTCTCCTTTGCATGATCCCTAAAGAATAACAGTAACAATAGTTAATAGTGACTGATTGCTTAGTATGTGTTAGAAACTATTTTAAGTGCATGAACTATTATCTCATTGAATCTTTATATTAGTGGTAGTGTACACCACGGACTGAAAGGGGCAAGGTAAGAAGGAAGAAAATCAAATGAAGAGATGGCTATGGTAATCTAGGAGATGACAATGGCCTGAGCTAAGGTAGTGGGCAGCAGGGATAGAGAGAAGCAAATGATTCAAGATTTTGTGATGAAGAAAGCAGAGATAGAACACGTAGGTACAGGTGTGTGTGTGTGTGCGCGTGTGTAAGAAGAAGGAAGATAAATGGAGGGAAGTTCAGTGAATAAATACTGTCATCTATGACTTAAACTTATGAGAATACATAAGTGTAAGACATAGTCCTTCCATTAAAGGACTCACAATCTAGCAACTGTATATAAAATTTAGTTTTACATATTAAAATGTTATCTAGAAAGCAAAATAATACAGCTGCTACGGATAACAGTATGGTGATTTCTAAAAAATTAAAAATTACTATATGATCCAGCAATTCTGCTACAGGTATCCATCCAAATGAACTAAAAGCAGGGTCTTGAAGAGGTATCCACATTCATAGCAGTATTTACAATTGCCAAAAGGTGGAAGCAACTGAAGTGTCCATCAATGTATGAAAGGGTAAACAAAATATGACATATATATTTAATGGAGTATTATTTAGACTTAAAAAGAAGATTCTGAAACATGCTACAATATGGATTAACCTCGAATACATTATGCTAAGTGAAATAAGCCAGTCATGAAATGACAAATACTGTATGATTCCACTCACATGAGGCACTTAATAGCAATCAATTCACAGAGACAGAAAATAGAATAGTGGTTGCCAGGGATAGGAGGCTGGAGGGAGAATAGGGAGGAGGAGTTTAATGGGTACAGAGTTTCAATTTTGCAAGACGAAAAAAGTTCTAAAGATGGACGGTGTTGATAGTTGCACAACAATGTGAATGTACTTAAAATTGGTTAAAATGGTAGATTTTATGTTATGTATGTTTGTCACAATTAAAAAATGAAATAAAAGAAGAAAAAAGTTAAATGCAACGAGTTTATATAATTGTTCAAGACAACAACAGAAAGTAGGTATATGACATCACTACATTAACAGCATAGACAGTATGTGTAACCACAGTTCAGAGGAAGGGATTGCCACCAGAGGCTAGGGTGTATTCAGGAAAGAATTTATGAAAAGCTGTGTTCTGCAGGTTACTAGGCACAGACCACGGGTAGAGGAGGTGAGTAGGCATTCCAGGTGCGTGGACCAGTTTGAATACCCAGAACAAAGGTGGGAATTTTTGAGGTATAGTGAATAGGCCATTTGGCTGAAGGGAAACATTTGTGTTGAGAAATAGTGTGAAATAAGGTGGAATAGTAGTTTAGAGACAGCTTACAGAAATCCTTCAGTATAGACTGAGGAATTAATGGTACTGTATCCTACAGGTAATGAATGGGGTGGCAACAAAGGTATTTTGAGCATAAGAGTGTCAAAATCAAACTGGTGTGAGAGAAAGATGACTACGATATTTAAATTATTACTTTTATTTCAACTTAAAGCAGGCAGATTTTGGTGAATATCAAATGATAAAAATTACAATTTTGTTTTAAATTACTACGTATCAGACACTCTTTTGAGTGCTTATCTGTATTAGCTCATTTATTCTTAACATTATCTACAGAACTTTAAAGTAGTTATTACTATTCCCATTTCCTTAAATGAAGAAACGGAGGCATGGGTCAGTAATTTGAATAAGGTTATTATATAGTTATAAATGGTAGAATTGCTATTTAAATTTAGGTAATCTTGTTTCCATGCCAGAACACTTATTAATCACTGCTTATATTTATCGCCGTTTAAAATAATACCTCCTTAAAAGTCAAATATGTATCAATACGCCCTGTGTTAACAGCTATATTCTTTCAAAATTATAAGTGGCAATAACATCTGTATATATTTACCACATGTCAATCTGTGTTGAGTACTCTGAGGAACCAAGAAGCACATCAGGTGGCCGGTACCACAGTGTGACAACTTCATTTGAGTAGGTCTTGGTGGGAACTGACTTGGCTCTGGCTAGTCCTTCATAGTGAAAAGAAAGCAAAGAATTAGGAAATAGCTATGATGGATTTCTCAGCCCCTATTCTCACCACGACTCCATTCAAAGGGATGGTGAGATGGCTACTCTGGAGCTTCCTGAAGTTTCAAACAAAATTAGTTTTCTGAAATTTGTTGAGGGCATGTGGTCTTGGGTTAGCAAATCCTTATACAGTTAAACTAAATAATAATAATTCCACAACCAGAGACTATGCTTACTCTTGTATGTGAATGTACCTAATACAGTGTCTGGGTTAATCTAAACTTAAGATATTTTTCTTTTGTCCATGAATCAAGATGCTAAAATTATTTTCTAGCTGAAATTAAATTAATCCAAACTAGGCCAACGACACCAAGATACAAAATTTTATTTTTTACAGCTTAAGCTTTTGTCACCTTTTAACCTGTTTCCAACCTTTACTTGCTATACCATTTTTTATCAAAAATCCTGAAGTTATTGGTCCTTGATTCTGTTGAGGTTAACTGACAATTTCCTTGCAGAATCTATTTAGACACAGTTCCCTTGGAATAAATTACAATGCTGTTCTGTACTCTCTTCATAGGTTTTAAGTTATATGGATAATTTTGGAATAAGACAGACCTCGCTGCCTTTGGGTATGATTAATTGTTGTATATGATGTAAAACACTTGTCATTCCTTTACCAATTTAATTTAACATCCATCGATTATCCAGAAATAAAAGCTAGAGTTCACAACTGTATCTTGAATCACTGTAGGAGAGAGTTCTTATTAGTTCTAAACCTCTAAATTCTGATCACCTGAAGAAGCAGCAACTTTAAAAGGTTTCTGAAGAAATATAAATTTATCTTACCATATATTTTATTTTGAGTAACAAGGAAGAACTCAATTTTTAGGCTGAGATTGCTGTTATGTATAATTTTATGTATCTGATTAAAATATTAAATAAGATGCCATAAAAGGATAATTCAATACTTTATTAAATTGGATAATCACATAAACAATACCAGAAGTTTAAGTAATTAGGTAGGACTCACACTATTTCAGTTTAGTACAATGGTTAAAGGGTGTAAGTGGAACAATGTTGACACTATTTTATTTAATTACAAGTTTTACTCTAGCATCTCAACTTGGTGAAATAAGTCCAACAAATTACATTTTCATACCAGTTTTGGTATTAGCAAAATGAAGGCAGCTTTCTGATCTCTCTTCCTGATATTAAGCATGATATGTATGCATGCGAAGGACAGGGCTATAAATTTGCTTATCCTATAACCTATACCATCAAGGCAAACTGCCAGTTATAGTATCCTTAATAGCTTATTCTTCTCCTGAGAGGATTCAGAACTAGGATGCTTGTCCAAACAGGCTCCTGGTTCACAATTAGAATTTCAGTGTTGGCATGAAATGAAATAAACAATAATCTCTCCCAAACCAAATTAACTAAATGTGATATGGTATTATTATACAAGCCATTTTCTAACATTAATGAAAATGTCTGTCTATATCAGTAGTTCCTAGACCTCTGAATTTCACTGATCATGGGAAAAGGGTAGAATTTTCAAAGGGATCAAGAACAACTTACAGTGTAAACACTCATAGCTACATGACTCTCCCTTACATGAAGTCGTAAGTATATTCATTATGCAACCAATAAAATAAATAAAGCAATAGAAACAAAGTTGATTATACTGTCTCATGGAGTAATCAGTTTCTTGTTGGCCTATGAGAAGATAAAATTTGTGTGGCTTGTTTTGTAGACGTTAGAAGCAAAATTTAAAACACTCAGAGTATTTCCCAATAAAAGTAGATTTTTGATGGCCCTTGACATTCCTTTTACATTTCTAATGTCCAAGCAAGGTTTCTCTATCATTGTCATTCATTGAGAGAGAGAGAGAGAATATACAACAATTAGAAGAGAAAGTTAGCAACATAAATTATGCTGAAGAAGAAACTTTATAATCTACATAAGCATATGCAAATAGCTTGTAATTTCTTGTTCAAACACATGTGGCCCACTCATTTCTTTTTTAAGGAAGGAAATACAAATAGTAACTTACCTTTCAAACAAATTGCAAAAGTATTAAATGAGCAAATGTACAGGAATTTCAGAACAAATTCACCATTTAATAATAGTAAAGGATAATCCTTGAAACACTCATATTTATCAAATTTAATGAAATACTCTAAAAGTAAAACTACCATAATCATTTAGGAAAATGCTAATTGTGGAAAACTGTATGGACTTTTAAAAACTAAGTTCTACTAGAATATTCAAACTCTCAGGATGTAGAATACAAAAAAATTCAAAGCTACCCTAGAAAGTTTGTTTATTTTGAAAAACGGTTTACCTCCTAGATGCAAAAATAACACTTAATGTAACTTTCAAATCCCTTAACATTACATTAGCTAATGAGATACAGATAAATAGCGTCAATTAAACTATTGAGCATATAATAAATGCAGAGTCATGGTGGCAGGTAGGGAGCTCCTTTCAGTAGTGGCTTCTAAACTCTTTGGTCTCAGGACACATTTTATATGCTTAAAAATTATCAAGAACCCAAAGAGCTTTTATTTAGGTAGGTTATATTTATTAATATTTGCCATGTTAGAAATTAAAACTGAGAAAAATTTTAAATATTTATTTACTCATTAAAACACTACTCATTATATGTAGCATGAATAATACTTCTATGAGAAATGTTTTTTCTAAAACAAAACAAAAATTAGGAAGAACAATGGCCCTGTTTTACATTTTTGTAAATCTCTTTAAAGTCTATTTTAAAAGCTGGATTCCATATCTACTTTTGCATTTAATCTGTTGATATGTTGCTTTGCTATATATCACACTATACCAAATATACATATCACAATATACACATATATGAAAAAAATTAGATCTCACAAAGATATGAAGTTAGAAAGAAGGGGAGTATTTTAATAGCCTTTTCTGATAATTGTGGATAGTCTTTTTTGGTACTACGTAAGAACTAGAAAGTAAGTTGTTTCTTAAAAGCTATGAGGTAACTGAAATTGTATCGATGAACTTTTCATACTTCTGTTACATTAAAATTAATTGGTGTATCTTGCACTTTAAGTGGATCTTTTACCCATGAGTGATTCTGTAATACTATGCATTGGTCAAATAATGGTTCTCTGATTTATACATTCCAAATATTTAAACACTTCTTTGGCATATCAAAAAATCTTGTTTGTTAATATCACCATCCATCTTATCAGAAAAGTGTCTTAAGTATTGGAAACCTATGAAGCTCAAGACAGCAGATCCAAGTTTCCAAAATCTAATTTTTGCTTGAAAACTTGAAAATACTTTCAGTTGATTTCTGTGAAATGATAGGTTTACTTCATTCATTTTTAAGAAATGTCTGCCAAATATCTAAGTATGAATAATCACAGTTTGTCTGCCAGTCATTTCCTTCAAGTAAAAATGGTATTCCTTGAGGAAAAAAGGGCTTGCACACCACCATATGAGCACTCTTCCTTGTGACAACCACAGTATTTCTGTGTGCAGCAAATGTGTTTTATGTACACTTCCCACTTCATTACACAAAATACTAAAAAATGTACTCAAGGATGGAGATTTAATAAAATTAATAAATTATACTGCTTCATCAAACACCTTTTTAAGTGTAACGGACAGTTTTTTCCCTTTAAGTGTGTAATGGTAAGGATACAATGATACACTTTGGTGACACTGCTTTGGTTTAATACTGAAGAACCAGCTTTACCCCTTACAGCTTTTGGATCATCAGTACAAATATTAACATGATAAAAAGGGCAAGTAATGGTTAGTATAATTTTGGTAATCTATTTTGCCTTTGGAGACCCCCTGAAAGGGTCTCAGGAGCCCTACAGATCTATGGACCATACCTGACAACCCATGCCTTTTAGTATAACCAACTTAAATCACCCACCAAAGTTCTGTCAAATATCTCATGCTGTGTGCTACAGAGAAAATTTCCAAACCCACATAAAAGCAATGACACATTGTGACAGTGGTTGTTCTTTTAAATTCAGCCACCTGGAAGTATTTATAAATATCTCATACATTCCATACCGAAATCTGCTAGCTTTAATTCTCCTTTTTCATTAATGAGGAGGTTCTGTGGTTTCAAGTCTCGATGCAATACCTTTCTTCTGTGGCAATATGCCAAACCACGTAAAATTTGGTATAGAAACAGCTATAGAAACAAAGAAATAAAAATTAGTTTTACAGATAATGAGACATACTCTGGTATAAGCATAGATTGTGATAGAAAAGCAACTGGCCTAGAATAAAAGAAAAAAAAAGTAATCACATCCTTAAGTACAATGTCTTGTTCTTATATAGTTGGTTTCTGAATTTTACAGTTTATTGTTCTATTTGAAGCATCTTACTTGTTTTAGTTTAACAGTATCTATGAAAATAAATATTATAAATAATATGAAACCTCATCTTAGCAGTAACAGTTCATTTATTATAGAAAATGACTTAAACAGATTTTCATAAACTTACAGGCCTCTTAAGCTTAGAGTTTGATCATGAAATTTTTGGCAAAACAAATAAGCAACCCCTCCCACTCACCCTCAAAAAAACCCTGATCTCGGGCAGTGTCTTTAAAATAAGGCATCAGAATTGGTGGTTTTATGAAAAGTCCAAGGTATCAAAGAGAATGGTGCTGCATAGCTCTGGCAAATTACTTGTTATAAAAATAACCTAACCAGCTTCTATCACCCACCTCCTGGGTACTTTACTTTCAGCACCTCCTACTCAGCCTTCAGAATCTGCTGTGATTCAGCAAGGGGCATTAGCACCATAGTGCTCTGAATGACTCTTTGAAAAATGTAATTCCTGTAAGGCTAAGGTAGAGTTTTTGTTGTGGATTTTGGAGGAAAGAGGGTTATGAAACACAGAAGGTCTTTGATTCTTTAGGGTTGAAAAGAAAGATGCTCAAGTACAGAGGATTCAAGAGTTTACCCTCAGTTCATTTGCTGGTGAAAAATAGAGCATCAGAACACTCAGAATAAGCCAAGGTGGCAGGTGCGTGATGGCCCTGAATGAATTTCTCAGCAGCAGGGTCTCTAGAGTCTATGTAATTATGTTTTAAAACTCTAAAATTACTATTTTAATATATTCCTGTTACATTTTATGTTTGGAAATCATAAAGGTGATTTAAATAAACAATAAAATGCTTTCCAACTTAAGCCATGTAGACCTGGCTTTAATGATGAACTTCTCAAACCTCTGTCAAATTATGATAATTAAGGGACTTATTTTCTTTTCACATCATTGTCAATATAAAAGCAGGAAAAACAAAATAAGAACCACAGACAGAAAGATACACAAATGACACAACACCTTGCAAAACAAAATGTAAAATATAATAACAACAATCCTCATAGTATATATATGGAGATACATTTAAAGCCCTATTCTAAAATTCTTAGCCATTTGTTATCCATATGTTCTGAGCTGTCTTTTAGTAACAGAAACTGGCTCTCCTTTATAGCCACCAAATTTACTATTTTAAAAAAACTGTAAGTTTAAAGTTACTATCTACAGAATTAGAAATGTCTCAAACATCCAGCTGAGACAGCCTATTTCCCGAATAGATTCTCATAAACTGTTGAGTAAGTTTGGATAAATAAATCTTTGCTAAATTTGGAGTATATCACTCAGGTCAAAAAAACCTATTGTAAGAACACAACTATGTCCAGTGCTTTTACTTAATAGCTTTTGGGTTTCATCTAGTACTGAATAGCTTTTCTAGCATTATTTGAATTTTTAGATATACTGTAGTAAGAAAACACATCAATTATCTTACTTTTGCTCCTAACAGTATAGATTGGTATTTCCAGCATAGTGTTCACAATACCTGCATGTTCCTGCCCTTATTCATTAGATTAGTACTCTGAACAGTTGTTGTTGTTGTGAGTTTGCCATTTAAAGGAGGGCGTTCACCAAATGCACCCATCACCCGTATTTATTTTAAACATCTGGTTTTTTTCCAAAGCAGAATATACCTGTAAACGTATTTTACATCTAAAATAATCAGTTGTAACATGAGTGGAAATGTCAAAAGAATGAAATAGTTCTCCAAAAAGGTATGATCCTAAGAAAGCTATAGTGTAGTGAACAGAAGTTCTGAATAAAGACTGTATGTTCAGAGGACAATAACTTATTTAAAATGCCAAATAGAAAATCCTGAAGAATAGTTATGAGGCTGGCATATTTCATCAAGTAATCTATTTGTTTGTTTGGTGTTTTTTTTTTTTTTTTGGAGACAGGGTCTCGCTCTTGCTCAGGCTGGTCTTGAATGCCTGACCTCAAGCGATCAATCCTCCCACCTTGGCCTCCCAGAGTGCTAGGATTACAGGCGTGAGCCACTGCACCCGGCCCTTCCATTAAGTAATCTAGCTCATCTATGCTTTAAGCAAAATTCAAAATAACACACTAAAACGTACCTTTACATTATGCATACTCATAATGTTTCCACAGTCATCCATGTACTGTTTTAGGTCTTTATCCTGAAAAAACACAGCATTTTAGTATATGATATATAGTTTTCAGAAAGCATGGCTGATTCACTTAAAGTATTTAATTTTTAAAAATAAGTTGTTCTTCAAGGAAAGATACTGGAAGCACCACATATGTAATTTAATTAAATACCAATAACTAAACAATAATGTCCCTGGAGCTGTCAAAAAGTTTCTGTTTCATTAAAACAAAATTGAATGCTGAATTTTTATGAAATGCTTACCAGATACTCAAAGACCAGAGTCAAAGATTTATCTGTGTGAACAATGTCATGTAAGGTTACTATATTTGCATGTTTTAGATCCTTTAATAGTGAAACTGCAAAACAGAAAAGAAAACCAGTTATTTAGTCTGTGGTAGCCAGTCTTTATCAAAACCTGAAGTAAGTTTAACACACAAACTGGGTTTAAGAGTCATCCACCAAGGGGATTGGTAGCAAAAACTCTAATAAACTTTTTCTTTTCATTTGTGGTTCTGGGTTTGATATTATAATACTTAAAATTATCCCCAATATTATAATACTCTCTACATCATCGTCTGTTTTTTTCCTTAAATCTTAACTTCTTGAGACTTCTGGGATTAGATATAAAGTGCAATGTACCTTTTTTTTCCCCCCTCCATATTATTAATCATTTGCTTCAAACTATTTTCTGGATAATACATCTTTTCTTTATAAAATGTTATCATGATATAAATATGTTTATATCATTATTTATTTGTTTAATTTAAGCAGCCAAATTACAGTTACCATGTTCCCCTTGTATCAATATATAACATTTCCCTAAGTCAAATATTAGTCAATGACAGTGATTTTTAATGACTTCATAGTATTTCAGTATAACTTATACAGTAATACAATTAATGAATTCCTTTCTTTTGAATTTTGGTTTTAGAAATTAACTTTTTAAAGGTCTAATTATATCTTCTAGTCATCTATTCTTTCTGTGTCTGAGTATTTTTTACTTATGAAAAATAAACTCTTATTCTGCAGCTTTGGTTTTAAAATGTTATATACAAATATTCTACCTTCTCTTATAGCTGTGCAGGGTGCACCTTCTTCATGTTCCAATCGGATCTCTTTTAATGCCACCAAATTCTCTGTCAATTTACTTCTTCCTTTATATACTGTTGCATATGTACCCTATAATAAAACATATTTTTAAAGGACACATCAAAAGTATCATGAGAGCCTATCAAATACCATCTGTACAATAAAGAGCTCTAACTGAATTTCTAATTTCTAAGCATATGTTAAATTTCATCTTGCAAAGAAAAATCTACAATGATCAGTGTTGGGTTTTCTTTTTTTTAAAGCTAGTCAAGTGAAGCAGTGGGAGTGGAGAAGGAACAAAAAGTCTTGGTTTTTCTTATAGCAAAGAGGACTTCCAGCTCCTATGCACAGCTTCCATACTCTTGCAACACTACAGAGTGCCTCACAAGTATCAAAACATAGAATATTCAATTTACTTTTTGTATTTTATTTCAGATTAACAATTGGATTAATAGCTTTAAAATCAAAGGTTGCTTTACCTGCAATGGAGTATGGAGACTGAAAGACTCTAATTGAGCATGTTAATTGAAAACATAATTAACAGATTGTTAAATCATAGAATTTTTACCCATGTTTCCAGACTTTTCCAATCTTTGTACATTAACTCTCCTTTAAAAAACAAATATATTCTACAGGAGATCTCTTCTATCATTACCAGGATAGCCCTCAAACCCCTTTAAGGCTTCCGTGTTAACTATTTTATTTCCTTTACCCTTTCTTACTCTGGGAGGTAGGCCATTTCTACATTAGTAGTACTAGTAGCAAGTTCAAAAAAACCGAAGTCTTAAGAATTTCCTTAACCTTCCATGAAATGTGTTTTTATCTTTAAAGATAGTATTTTGATTTTTCACAGGTTTGAACTCATGCAATTTCCCATCTGACAGCACAGACAGGAGGCTGAGTGACAACTGGTTGCCTATTTTGTTACCAAGAATGCATAATACTTTGTGCTTCAATAAAAGATTACAAGCCTATAAAAAAATACTCATTTCCTCTCAAATTGATGGGATCATTTCAAGGACTGAAGGGTTTTAGCCCTTCTAACTTTCTATTGCCTTTTCAGACCAAGTACATAATCTTATAGACAATTGTGTTTATATTTTTTTCCCCCAGCTTAACAAAAACTGTAGAGAGGAGTTTAGATGATGAACAAGAGGTGTCTTACATTTTTTAAATAAGTATTTACTTACCTCTCCAAGCTTTTCCAATTTGATGTAGGTTTCCATTTTCCCAAACCCAATTTCTGACTGAAAACAAGCAATTATAAATTTAGTATTTATTCTTAAAATTAAAAAAATTCATCTCTTCCTCAACTTTGGAAACTCTCCTACACTGAAGAGTGTCTAAGAATAGAAAAATCTGATCATAATGAAATTGTTGATATCTGTCAAGTTTTAAAGTCTACTCAATGCTGAAACATTCAAAGGTTCAAAAAATATCAAAGTTCACAATTAAACTGTCAACCCATCATATAGATCAGTTAACGTTCTGTTATGAAAAACATTTTGTTTTATTTTAAGACCTTGGAATTTTAAAATACTACAGGCATTTTAAGATACTAAAGAATCTTATAAAGTATGGATGGCTACTTGGGATTTTCTTTTTAACAAAATTACAAAATAATTTTCCTACATATTTTCCTTCACAATTTTTGAATTTCTTAGAGAGACCTGCAAACACAAATTACTATTTGTTTTGGGTTTTCCAATCCAAATATAATGAAAAAGACAACTGAAAAATGATACTTTACTATGGATCAGGAAACAGCAAACAATGTAAGAAGAAGCAATGCAAATTTAATTCTGGCCACAGCGGGGGAAGAAAAGCTTTAAAAGTGAGTTCTCAAAACCCTTGCTCTAAACCTTGAGAGCTTGCTTATTTTGTTTGGAGATGATAAATGGAGTAGATGGAATACACTTAAATATGTAATGGAAACCCAGTGTTTTAAAACAAAAAAAGAAACAAAACAAAAAATCTTAACAAAAGATTTAGGGAAAAAAATTTTTTAGACAGACTGAAAGTTAAGGACTGAGAGTAGAAATAGGAAAAAAAAAAAAAAAGTAAAACAGAGGAGAACAATAAAATTGCTGTCTACTGTCCCTACGTAGATAGTGGGAAAAGTAGTAATAATCTAAAGAAAAGGTTGGCTTCTTGCTTACACTTACAATGGTGCCAATGCCCTTAAATAAAAAGCTAGTAAAAGGAAAAAATATTCTTTTATACATAACTTCAGTTCTCAAAAATGTAAAATTTATGCTGGAAGATTAAGTACTGAGTTTTAGTCAAGGTCCAAAGATGCAATTTTTCTGGAGTTGTTGAATAAAATTAAAATGATCCTTGATGACTTGGCATCAATCCCCACTTTGGACAATAGGATAAACTGTCCAAAGCTTAATGGCCAAAAGTAGCAGAAATCCCTCAAAAGAATTTTTATCCTTTTGTTACAATGATATATAAAAGCCCTGTGGAAATTGCATATCCAGTAGTACTTAATTCAATTTTGGTAAACTAACTAAAACTTTGGTCACAGGTATTACTGAATGACTGAAAAATTATTTCTTTTTGCATTCTCTATGACTTTTTTCTACATATGGTATTTTTCATAAAAACATTAAATTTAAAAAATGAAGTTTTAGAACCATCATATACCATTCACCCATGTATTGTCTTGTATATGACTCAGCATTAACATTTTGTTTTCTACTAACAATAACTATGCAAAATAATGAAGTAAAACCATAACAGACATTTTCCAAATACAAGTGACGTTTTTAATTTCAGTATGGAAAATGTGGCAAACAGCCCACTATCTGGTACATGACAGCCTGATTCTGAATTATCTTTTAGTTTATGTATGCTTTGTATAGCCCATTTATATATGACCTAAAATAACTTACTTCAAGAACTGGCTAACTGCCAAGACCACAGAAATTGATAGAATGTCTTTATTTTCTTATACCTATCTCTGGAATTCAGGTGCTTAAATTCACAAATATGGAACTACTGCATTTTTACCATGAATTTTAACACTTGTTATATCTTTTATGGAGAAAAAAACACTATATTAAAAATAAATGGAAACCAGTATGAACAAAATAATATCCCTGAAAAAATATTAAAAATGTCATCATCTATAACAATGAGAAGCACATGGAAAATATGACTGCAAGCTAGGAACTTTTTCTTCTCAGGAATAGGGAAATTTTCTTATTCATCCTTTTATCTTAAATAAATGAGTACTAGTATGCTCTTAAAACATCACATACACTTTGGTTCAATGGTGACTATGACAAATGTTGAAGTTTGCTTTAAAGATTATGTAAGTGTACTACAAATTAAAGACTGTAAAGACAAAAATGTTTTGGAGATTACCATAGCACATAAGGTATACAAGGAATAAACTGTAAGGTATGCATCTAAAATTTAATATTACAGAGAAGCACTCCTCAGAGAATGAAATTTAGTGACATCATTAGAATATGCTGAAAGTTTGTTTTTAATAAAGGAAAGGAAATATTGTACCATAATTATGAAGTTAAATTTAAATTTGAATAATTAGTCTATAAAACAAACAGCACTCCTGAATTCCACCCATGTAGACAGAGAATTCAGACAAAGCCAGTTTACACAAGTGAATTGTCTGTCAGATCCTAATTCAAAGAGTTAAAGTGTACCCACCCTACCTCCTATTTTAATAATTTCCAACCTTAAGGATTTATACATCCAAAGAGTACTTACTGAATCTTTAAATGAAATTTTTGGAAAATTTTGCTTGCATTTGTATCTGCTGAACACGACAAGATTAACAATAGATATAATGACTAGCTTGTTGACATGCTCTCCTACAGAAATTATTCAGAGGACAGAGGACAAAGCTCATTTATTCAACATTTACCCAGCACAATGTTAGGTGCTTGGGAGACAGTGAAGAAGACAGATATGATTCCTGCTTTCAGGAGTTCACAATCTAGATTAAGTTTTACCCTAGATTTTAGAATATTTTTAAAAAGTTTCATAAAAAACAGAAATAATAGCTACAAAAATGGCACAATAAATTTTAACATAATATAAAAACTCCCTTAATTCTGCTCTCCAGACTAATTTTACCTGATACTTCATTGTTAAAAGAAAATCCTTCACTTCTGGCAGCCCCAAGCAAATTCCTGTTCAGATGGCTCTTACAGCATAAGCATGTGAAAATTTAAAATATATATGTATATAATAAATTATACCCTAATAACAGTCTTCCTATAATTCAGTGTCTAGGCAGCACCAAGCATTATGGGAAATTTTACATTTACTTTGGATCTAGCAACATAATTACTACATCACAGTTGGAAAGATGTTTTTAACATCCTGGAGATGCTGCCCCTTATCCATTGGATACATTCCAAGATCCCCAATGGATGTCTGAAACTACAGATAGTACTGAATCTGATATATACTATGAGTTTTCTTATACATACATACCATGTGTTTTCTTATACATACATACCCAGGATAAAGTTTAATTTATAAATTAGGCACAGTAAAAGATTAACAATAATATTAACAACTAACAATAAAACTATGGTAATACGTTGTAACAAAAGTTATGTGAATTATGGTCTCTCTAAATATCTTATTGCACTGTATTGACCTATTTTCGGACTGCAGCAGTGGGTAACTGAAACCCTGGAAAGCCAGACTGCAGATAAGGGTGGACTATTGTATGTGCAGAGGCTCTTTAGGTGCCATTTTAAGAGTAAGCATGTATGTAAGAAACAGTGGGGCAGAGGTAGGTTTTTTCAAATACCTATTTCCCTCCCTGTGAGAATTACTGAGTTACTGACAGAAATGTGTTTTATACCTTAGCCATGGGGGTGAGGGGAAGGAAAAAGATTGAGAACTATTCTATTTGGTCATTTTGTCTTACAAAAACTGCTGCTAACAGCATCATTATACCACCTTAATCCTGCACATAAAATGCCAAAGGTAAATTGTGTGGGACCTTGAACCTCGCTACTTCCACATCCCGTATCATTTCTGAGAGACAGCAAGACTTGATACCATATTTTCTTACCTACTCTTAGAAATAAGAAAGGGCTATATATGATCTATATAGGCAAAACCAGGAATGAAAAATCTAAATGCTCATTGTTTTAAGAAGGAGTAGACTCTTAAAATATATATAACCTATAATTTTAATGTCATGAGACAAATTTTTACATACAGATAACTTTCATTCTAATGAAGTAGAACTTAACAGTCTCACAAAACGTCCACTGGGTATACCATCATAAGTGCAATGAAACTCTGATGAATCCTATCTGCATATAGGCTTTCCCATTACTCTAATATTTAACTAAATATTGATATGTGAAGAGAGAAAACTTCATTTCTTATCAACCATAAAGGAATATTAAATAGCACTTCACAAATCCAATAACCAATCTTTTTAACAAGAGTTACGATGACTAAATGTAATGTGATGTCCTGGATGGGATCCTCAGACAGAAAAAGGACATTAGCAGAAAACTAGTGAAATCTGAATAAAGTGTGGAGTTTAGTTAATAGTAATATACTGATGTTGTTTCCTTAGTTGACAAGTGTATAAAATGTTAATAATAGGAGTATAACTAGGTATGTGGTATATGGGAACTCTCTATATTATCTTTGTAGTTTCTCTGTACATATAAAACTAAAATTAAAAGTTTATTTAAATAAAAACTCAATGGGAAGGATTAACTTAAGAAAGGGAGACTGAATACACATGCGGTTTATATGGATAATGGATATTCTAAGCATCCTGAAAAGATGGGCTATGAAGAAGGACAACTCCTAAATATTAAAAGAGTGAAAGAACAGAATGAATATAGATGTAGGTAGATTTGCATGTCTACTATTCAGAAAATGAGGGAGTTTCTGGTTAATGGCCACTCTCTTTTTTAATCATGTAGGAAGACAGATCATCTGCTTAAAGTGAGGGAGGAAGAGTTGACAGTGTGGTACACAGGCAATACTGAGGGTCCATTTGAGGTTGATGGTCATGAATTTATAGCAGATCTGTATGACTTTTTCCAGCAAAAATGAATTCTGTGGCTTGTTTCTTAATTCCCACTCAACCAAATGTTCTAGGTTATTTGTACTACTCTACTTATATGTTGTTATTAGAAAACGTGAAAACAACACACTGAAAGTTTTATACTTTCTAAAACAAGGCTAAATTTTATATTTCACCTTGAAAATATATTTTGTTTTTTAGAAAAAGGATGTATTATCCACAGAAACATGAACTCTAACACAGGTAAAGAATATTTTTCTCTCCTCACCTCCTTTCCATCCATCCCTAATCTTTATCCTTCTCCTTCATACATAAACCTGGGGTTCAGACATTTATATTGAAGAACCGACCTCCTTGAAAAAAAATTTGTCAGGTTTACAAAGGAATATATTATCTATGGAAACATGAATTCTAATACATGTGAAAAATGAGTCTCTGTTCCCAATTCCTTTCCATCTATGTCTTAACCTTTACGTGCTCACTTCCACTGCCTATGTTCAAATATAACATAAACCTAGGGTACAAATTTTCTTTTCTTTTTTTCTTTTTTGGAGACAGAGTCTTGCTCTGTTGTCCTGGCTAGAGGGCAGTGGTGTCAGTATAGCTCACAGTAACCTCAAATTCCTGGGCTCAAGCGATTTTCCTGTCTCAGCCTCCCAAGCAGCTGGGACTACAGGTGCACACCACCATGCCCAGCTAATTTTTCTATTTTTTGTAGAGATGGAGTCTCGCTCTTGCTCAGGCTGGTCTCAAACTTCTAAGCTAAGCGATCCTCCCACCTTGGCCTTCCAGACTGCTAGGATTACAGGCGTGAGCCACCGCACCCGGTCTCAGATTTTCATTTTGAAGAATAATTTTCTAATATATTTTTAAAATGTGCTTTAGTAAGGTAGATGAATAATGAAAGAGATGCATCGACAGAAACCAAAACACAGCTGGCATGATTAATCTAAAATCTATAAGCCATTTCGGAATCAAAAAATAAGGGTGTTGGGTAGGAACACTTAACCACAATAAAAACTCCAATTATTTTTCATTAGAGGGCACTGTTTTCCTTAATTTCACACAGACTGCAAAAGACAGCTCTTAAATAATAGGCTTAAGAATCCCCTGGTGATTAATCATACTTTTACTCTCAATTGGAACACACTTAACTTTAAAATTTATCCTAAGTACCAATCTTTGCTAAAAATTGAAAGCCAAAGAAAAATTTTCACTAGACACAATCAAATGATAAAATTATTCCAATAAAAACACTTTAAGCAGTGATGCAAGATTATGACCATAAACCTGAATCAATATCAAGTTTGTATTACACTTTTACCATGTTATATATTGGTGAATGTCAAATAACAATGTGCTCACAGTATGTACAGCATAAAGTTATTCTATTTTTTAGAATATCTAACCAAAATAGATAGTTTTTGGTAAATAAAAGAAATTCCATGATATAATACACAAAAAGGAGATAAAATAACTGCTGGCAATCCAGGAGTCACAATCAATTTCTCCTCCCTCAGACACAAAGTCTGACTGGGTACCAGGTTCTGTCTATTTTATGCCTTCATAGTCCCGACAATCTATGTTCTACTTCTATGTCCACACGACTCGACTGCCACATTATCCCTAATTTTGAATAAATTCCCACCTGCCTCTAATCTTTTTCTCCTTCTAATTCATTGTTTACACTTTTCCTGAAGCTATTGCTATGAAACGAAAATGCGATCATGTCAGCCTTTGTTTAAATAAATGTCTTTGATGTTCTCTCATTACGTGGGATAAAGTCCAGACTCCTTGGCCTGACATCTAAGGCTTTTTACATTCTGGATCCATCCTATCATTTTAGGCTCTATTTTTTTAATGTTATTCCATATTTTCCCTTTATATTAAGTTCTAATTTCCCCAACATAACATATACATTCACACCTCTGGAATTTAGTACATGAAGTTTCCTCTGCTTGGAATACCCTTCATTCATTGACTGCTTTCAATCTAACAAACCCTACTCATCCTTTTAGGGCAAGTTTAAGTGCTACCTCCTCTGTAAGCTTGTGCTTCACAAAGACATTTAACTTTCTGCCTCTGTTTTATTGTCCCATTGCCCTTTATATGTATCTCTACAATAGGACAATACTTAGTCATCCAAAAGAGATCCTCACAACGTTTACAATCACCTGAATTTATGTCAAAGTTGATACTTTAACACGGAAAGTTGTCCTTTCAATAAACAGTGCGGGGTCAATGGCAACATGCTGGGAGAAGATATTTGCAAGGCATAAAACTGACAAAGGTCCTTTATACGGAATGTATAAAGAATTTCTATAAATCAATAAGAAAAAGGCAGAAAACCCAACAGAAAAGCAACAACAGACTTGGGTAGTTAATTCACAAAAGAGGATACCTAAATGAGCAATAAACATTTAAAAAGGTATTCAACTTAGTCATCAGAGAAATGTAAAATAAAACAACGAGACATCAGTATCTAATCACCAGAAAAGTTAAAATAACAATTTTAAAAAGACAATATAAAAAATCAGCAAAAAGAGCAACCAGAACTATTACATACTAGTGATGGAAGTATAAACTGGTACAACCACTTTGGAAAACTGTTTTGACAGTATCTAGGAAAGCTGAACATATGCATACAATATGATTCAACAACTGCACTAGCTATGCACTCGACGGAAATGCTTACATAAGTCAACCAAAAAACATACATAGGAATGGTGATAGAAGTGCTATTTGGTAATAGTCAAAACCTGAAAACAGCCAGAATGCTCAACAACAGGAGACTGGATAAAGCATAGGACTTTTTCATAAATGAAACACCATGTGACAATGAAAATAAATTAACTATAACTCCATGTAACGGCATAGATGAAACTCACAAACATAACACTTAGCAGAAGAAGCCAACCACAAAAATAATACATATTATATACTTCCATACTTATTGGGACACGTATTGTATAAATATCTTTGCGTAAATATACATGTCTATGTATTTGTAGAAAATGTATTTTAATATATTTAAAAGATAAATAAGAACATGTATGTGAATGAGGATTAAAAAAGGCCCAGATATTAAAACATACTATAAAAACAATATAATCAGAACAGTGTGACACACATGGTTAAAACTAACCTTAGCATTGGAAGGCAGGGATTATGGCTACAGTTGAGGAAAGAGGGGGTATTAAGTGATGAGAAAGGGAGCAAAAGAGGGTTTCTGGAATTATGAAATTTTCTTTTATTAGTCTAGGTACTAATTATACAGGTCCATTAACATTGCAAGAATTCATTAAGCTGTACAATTATGGTTTGTGTACTTCTCTGTGTATCTAATATGTATTAATATGTATGTTTATACATCTAGTACATATCTAGTAGACATTTATAGATCTAGTATATATTCTGTACATCTAGCATACATCAATACAATTTACCAAAAATAAAATATAACTTAGCTTAAATCTTATTTCAGTAAGCATCCTATTGGATGCGTCTTAAGGAGCCCAACAAACCATTAAGAATGAAAAATGATAAAGGCAATATAATAAAATTTAGCTATTTAAAAGTTAAGTATAAAAAGTACTTTAAAATGTTTACACTCAGAAAATCGAACAAGCAGATCGGATGGTGTAGGTACAGGAGACCAAAAACTTACTAAGGAAGCTCTACGAGACCTTCGACTCATTGGCTGATCAAACGGTGGACTGTTTATCTGCAACTTTTCGAGATAACCATCAGGTATTCTGATATCTGCAGGCAGTGATAACCGCTTATTTAAATCCTTAAAAGGAAAAAAAGGAGGTAATCAAAAATAGAAAGACAAAAGCATTTGACTTTTGAATTCACAGGCTCTAATATATTATTTCTTAGTGATAAGTAACTGTAAAGTCTTACTGCAGTTCCAAAGTTATCTACATTGATTGTATATAATATACTCAAGGCAAAAATATTTACTGGAAGAAAAGGTATACGATGAAGTTTTACAGATATGGTACTTTGCAACCCCAGTTATTTCTCAGTCCTTTTATTGATAAATTCAACTTGGAATTTACTTTGAAATTTTTATACCATATAGTAGGAATAGGCAAAGACTACCACAGAATGTGATAAATTTAAATAACTAACCAAGCAGATACTGTATGATTTTGTATGCAACATGGTGAACAAAATTAAAATATTTTATTATTGCTGTGTTAATGGTATTTCTATTTTATTTAATTATAGAACATGAGCTTGGAGAAACTTAAAAGTGAATCTTCCCTGTATCACCATATCAAGAAATATAAATTCTATATAAAGAAATCCCTCCTGCCGGGCGCGGTGGCTCACGCCTGTAACCCTAGCTCTCTGGGAGGCCGAGGCGGGCGGATTGTTTGAGCTCAGGAGTTTGAAACCAGCCTGAGCAAGAGCGAGACCCC